AAAAGTATATATATATTAAACGAATTAAGATTACAATTATTTTTCATAATTTCGGATTGAAATCAAATGCGGTCTTCTTTCTATACAAAAACAGTAAAAAAACTTATAAATATAGAAAGGTTTACTAGTGGAAACAAAGTTTAAGTATCAAAAAAATGTCGTTGTTAGACTTACATTATTTGCCTCTGCCTCTTCCTCTGCTACTGCCACCACCACCGCCTCCACCACCTCCGCCGCCACCTCCACCACCGCCTCCTCCTCCGCCACCTGCTCCGCTTCCACCTCCACCACCACCACCGCCGCCTCCACTGCTTCTGCTACCACCTCTCCAAGGATCAGCAAATTCATTTCTATATCAAAAACAAAATTTTGTTATTATTATTATAAATAGTATTATTATTATACAAATTGTATAATATGTAATATAATATTAATATAATGAAAAGCACATTATATAAAAATCTTACATCTCTTTTTTTCCGTAACCATAACCTCCGTATCCGCCTCCATATCCCCCATCCCTGTTTAAATAAAAAACCTTGCGTTATTTAAAACTTAATTCAAATTAAGAATTAAAAAATAATTTTCAGAAATGCTTACATTTCTCTTTTTCCGTAACCATAACCACCATATCCATCTTGGCTTTTATCTTCGTCTTCATTTCTAAGTTAAAGATAAAGTTAGGTTTAATGTTACATTATAAATAAGTTGTAAATTAAAGCAACAAAACTTACATCTCTCTTTTGCCGTAACCATATCCCCTATAACCACCACCGTACCCTCCGTATCCACCACCGTACCCTCTGTATCCACCTCCGTATCCTCCACCATAATCACTCATTTTATTTGAAAATAAATCTTTGTTTTCCTAAAATAAAAAAAGCATTTATATTTCTAAATTAGTTTCAAAAATTGTCAAAGAGATAAGTTAAAAATACAACTTAAAAAAATAAATTTCTTTAAGTTGTATTTTTAACTATTAATAAATTAAACTATTTAAATTAAACTATTTAAATTAAAAAAAACTAATTAATAAATTCCGACGAAAGCTTTTGAAAAATGATAAAAAAATAAAATGTTAGCAAAATTAAAGTTACTTCTTGACTGTATTCATCTTCGTTATCGTTTCTAAAAGAGATATTTTTTTATCTCATAATTAGCACTCTGCAAATTTTAAAGTACTATAACATTTAAAACTAAGAATACTCACTTCGTATCGGCAACATTATCTTTGGCATGCTTGAAAGGAGCTGCTTCACTCAGCTAAACAACAAGTCGCATATATGTCAATTTATTAGTATTATTATATATTAATTATATAAATATATATGTGTTAATATATAAATATAAGTTATAATCTTTTATTTTACTCACAAAAACTTGAAAAGAAATCAGGAACGTAATAAAAATGCAAAAGTAGTTCATTCTCATTGAACGCCACTAATTATATTTGATGTCAATTTTTTATCCTTTTTATACAATTTACTAAATTATCACGGAAACAACCTAATTTAAACCAAAACCTCGCATTAATTGGAAAGTGGTAATTTGCAAACAAAAGAAAGTTTCCAACTTTAATTGAATACGATTTAAAGTAATTAAGGTTATTTAAACACCTACGAATACACGTCACTATTCTAGTTTTGAGTAAAACGTATTACGGCAAAGTAAAATTACATGATGTTTGTTAACTACTTTTAAAAGTTTTGTTTAATGAAGAGAGTTTAGTTATTTTGGAAAAAAACTTAAGGAAAATACACCTCTACTCTTAGACTATTTGTTTTCAAAATGACCGGTTTGATCACATTTCAGGGTTAGGGTGCTATGCTATCTTCCTACCGCAACTACTTGTCTTTTATAACCTATTTTATATTAGTTCTTCTCAAATTACTTCCTCATCTAGCGTTCAAAAGTTAGAGCCATTTAAAGTTTAAAGCCCCCTTAAAACGAGGGGGTTGTAAATTTAATAATATATAATTTCTAAACAACATGATATTTTTCAAAACAAAATATATAACCTTAACGATATTACCATCTAATTTAGGACATTAGAATTTATATTTAGAAAAACAGATTTCCCCACATTTGGGCGGGTGACGCCTACTTTTAAAGGTTTTTTTGTTGCCAGACTCTAATCCGCGCAATTTTTGGCAAGTCATTCTTAAATGACTTAAGTATTAAAACACAAAAATTTTTTGAGTTTAGAACTTACCTGGAAGTTATATAACTTAAATACCGAAAAATCCTGGATCCGCTCGTGTGTCTTCTTATGTGAAAAAAAAAGTATGAATCGAAAAGTATGTAGTATACTCATATCATTATAAATATCCTTTTGCTTTTAAACCGTCTGACTGTGAAAAATTAAACTTATTTAAGTTTAAATTTTATTGAGCTTGTTATTTGATCAATTTTGTACATTATCAAAACTAATATAAGTAAAAAAAAAATATTTTTAATCAATCCTTTATTATACAAACTTTTTGAAAAATCTGTTATTTAGGTTAAAACAGTTATTTACGTAATAAGTTAGAAAATAACTCTTTACGGAAACACCGAAGGGTTTTTATCTAACCAAGATTTTGCATTGATTAAAAAATGATAATTTTAAAACAAAGGAAAGTTTTTATTTTTAGTTGCATACAATTAAGAGTTGTTAAAGTAATTAAAAAACCCAAAAAACTAGTTAGACGTTACTAAGTAGTTTTACATATTTTATATCTCATTAAGCTAATTAATAAGTTGTAACCGATTAATGTATAATTGCACACTCTAAAATCCAGTGCATTATCTGTCCGCTATCAATATGCTATCTTTCTAACTTGACTTCTTCAGTTTGCCACTTTAATATTCTTCGTTTTTCTTAAACTCACTCATTCTTGGTCCATGGAAGCGGAATATGATGCTCTTTAGTGAGCTGAACTCGACTTTGCGAGTTTTGGTATGTGCTTTCTATATGACATTTTATACAGCTGGAGGAGGATAAACCACAACACATATTTTGTCATCTTTAAGGTTAAATAAGGTAACTAGTAGATTCAAAAACCGGAGTTATAATAGTTTAAAAATATTTATAACAATAAAGAAGACATTGTTTTTATTATATATATATATATATATATATATATATATATATATATATATATATATATATATATATATATATATATATATATATATATATCAACTTAATATTTTGTGCGGAGTTCCACTAAGAAACTTTTCTTGATTAATGTAAATGATTTTAATAATGCATCAGCTAAGCTTAACTCAATAATGTTTGCTGACGACACAAACTCTTCCTTTTAAACTGTGGCATTAATCAACTGTATTCTAACATGAACTCTGAACTAATGAATGTAGATGAATGGTTTAAGGCAAATAAACCTTCACTCAATGTAGATAAAACAAAATATACTTTATTTCATAAAAAATCACAAGATGAAAAACTTCCTTTAAAATTACCTGATTTGATTTTAAATGATGCACTAATTAGTAAAAATGATTCAATAAAATTCTTGGGAATACTTATTGATGAAAATTTATCATGGCTTTCCCATATTAATTATATTCAATCGAAAATTATTAAAACAATTGGTCTGATGTACCGTATTTGTCCATATGTAACATCAGAAAGTCTGAAATTAGTATATTTTGGCCTAATACATTGTTTCATATACTATGCTAATATTACATGGGCTAGTACTCAACCAACAAAACTTAAAAAAATATTTTCTTTACAAAAACATGCATGCAGACTTATATATAAAAAAAAATATATATGAACATGCAAAACCATTAATGGAAGACATGAAAATGATGAGTATATATGAAATCAACATTTACCAACACCTAATTTTTATGTATAAATGTAACAACAGCTTGATTCCAAAAAACTCAAATGATAAATTTACAAAAAATGTAAACAAAAAATATTCTCTTAGAATAAACCAATGAAATACTTATAAATTACCAAGAACTAATAGTAAGTATTCTGAATATGGAATATCATACTGCGGGCCAAAACTATGGAACACTTTTCAAAAAACAAAAAATTTAAATACTGTAAAATCATTAAATTCCTTTAAGTTTATAATAAAAAATGAAATTTTTAAATTAGAGAAATAGTTTTCTTGATTTTTCGAAATGAAAATCGAGTTCCATTATTCTTAGTTTTTTCACTTGTTAATTGGCTCTTATTTTGATATTGAACAGAGTTGCCAATATATTTTAATGAATATTGATAAAACTATATGTTGTTATTTACTTTCTTGATTTAATGGAAATATTTATGCAAGCTTTAACCTTTTTATTATATTGGAGATACTAGTTTTTTAACTTGTAAAGCCCACCTAGGGGCTCTATGAAAAGATTGTAGTGACTTTAGTCATGTATATATTAACAGCAAATATATATCAAATAAATAATATATATATATATATATATATATATATATATATATATATATATATATATATATATATATATATATATATATATATATATATATATATATATATATATATATATATATATATGACTCTTAGATAATAAACTTTTTTTATTATCTTTTTATATATCTTTTATACGTATATACGCATATTATGTCTTTTTTCTAGCAAGGTAGCAGTATGTGCTGCAAAGTACGCATTTTATTTATATCATTCTTAAAAACTGCGTCTTTAATTATTATGAACTTTTAATTGTTCAACATCTTTTAAGTTGAATCCATTTCTTTTAATTTAATTTTTTTATTTGTTATTGTTCATCAACTAACTTAGATTAATTAGTAACTTAGCAACATAGCTTTTATTTAGCAACATAACTTTGTTAGTTGATGAAGAATAACAAATAAAGTCTTCTGAAGTAGATTTTATTTTAATTTTAAAGAAAATGATTTATATTATAAAAATTAGAGAAAGTAATTAATTTTATTGCGTTAAAATATAAATAAAACTAGCGATATTTAATAATTAGTACACTCTAAAAAAACTAACGGTATTATAACAGCATTTATATAATACGCAGATGCTTTAATGCCGTTATTTATGCTGTTAAATTCGCGCATTGGAAGAAATTATTTGAGACCAAACAATTTTGGCGTTATAATAGTGTTATATTTGCTGTTATGTTATGCTGTTATGTTATGGTGTTATATTTAAAGACGTTTGCTGTTATATTTGCTGTTATTTTTACTGATAGTTTTGCATTTATACTTGCTGTTATATTTGATTTCACACGTGACAGCAAATATATCAGTAAAATATCATTGCAATGCTGCCACATTTTGTCATATTTAAATAAGAAGTTAAGAAAGTTTCTAAAGCGGTAACACAAGGTGGTAAAAGTAAAAAAAAAAATGAAATCAATTAAAGTTTTATTTAAAGAAAATGCTAAAATAGTTATTGCCAGCAGCAGTTATTTTTTGGATTTTTGTGCAGCTGGTAGGTTTGTTTTATTGTATTGAGCACAATAGTCATCTCATGAGATATTGTGAAAATTTATTAAAATTTAATCATTTTATTTAATTGTATCATTAAAGATTTTTAATTTAAACTAAAAATTAAAAAATTAATCATTTCTTTTTTAGTATGATAATTTGAATTCAAATATCATATCAATAATTCAAATATCATGCTAAAAAAAAAAAAAGTTGTCAATGATGTTGAGCTATGTTTACTTTATTTTATGTTTTAGTTCGTGAAACCTTCAATTTGCCCTTGATTGAAGAAGTCAAGTGGAATAGCTGTAAAGTAAATGCTAGTAGCTTTGCTGCTCTTCTCAACGAACAAAATTTAGAGTTTACTATTCAAGCTCCACAACTTGTTGATATTTCCAACTCTCAACAAGTTAGTTTTTTATCTGAGTTAAATAAGGCTGACAGCTCAATCATCACCGTTATGCCAATTTTCATCTATTGTAAATGATAACGTAGATTTTGTAGTACCATCGAATAAAATTAATTGGAACTTTGAAAACCAATGTATGGCTGAAGAATGTCATGTAAATGTTGTTCAGCCTTCGGTAAGTCAACTATATACACCAGTTGCACAATATATGGCTGAAGAATGTTGTGTTAATGTTGTTCAGCCTCCGGTAAGACAAATATCTTCAACTTCTTCATCTTCATCTCCAAACACACCCAAGATACCACGAAAGGTAATTAACTATAACTGTTCTGTTTGTTATTGTAAAACTTCAACTTATAGTTTTATGCTTCATCACTTAAAACTGCATGGCAACCAAGCAGCCGTTTTTTGTGAAAATTGTTTGTCTAAATTTAAAAGTCTTTCAGGTTTCCTGAAGCATTCCAAAAAATGTTCCATTAACCAGATCAATATCTGTACTATTGAAAATGAAGTTGAAAATGATGTTGCGAATCAAATTGGTAACACAAAAATTAATGAAGATTATTTAGGAGCTTTGGCATTACATTTACAAGGAAAGCACATATGTGCTCAAAATGTTTTAAACATAATTTTCAGTAAAAAAAGGAGATGCTTTCTGTAATAAATGTTGACATTGAGGCTTTAAAAGCCACTTGTGATAAACTCTCAACACAATATTTACGGGAAAAGTATTACAAGAATAATTTACAGACTCCAACTGCAAAAAGTGATTGGTCTGAATAAGCAAGGTTGTATAATTCCTTTCACTGAAATATTGTCTTTCCTATTACAATCATAGGAAATTAATGACTTTACAGCTGTGAATGGGAACACAAACCACGTGAAAATGGGAATATATTGTGATGACCTTGGAGGAACAAATCCTTTAGGAAAGGCGCGTAAAAAGCAAAAAATGTTTGTATTTTACTTTCAAATCTTAAACATCCCTTCATTGTATTGTGGTAGAACGTCTTCTATCTTTCCGTTAATTTTTACTCATGCTAAATGGGTAAAAGATAAATACTTTTACAGTATTCTTTTTAGCGATTTTATTTCCTCCATGAGCCAGCTGGAAAATGGAAATGTAATTAAAGTTAGGGGTGTTTCAAAAATAATTACAGTTGAAGTAGTATACTTCTCAGGTGACTCTCTTTCTGCAAATACAATTGGAGTTTTTAAAGAAGGTTTTAGTGAAAAGACATTGCGCTATTGCAGAAGTTGTAACTCAACCAGACAACAAATGAAAAATTTTTCTAACTATGAAGAATGCAGTATTCATAACGCTCCTGAACATATGATACGTTTGACTGAGCTAAACTCTGGTTTAAGCAAAGCTGATAAATCAAAATGGTCTAAATACTATGGCATTGTTTCAAAAAGTATACTGTCAAACATTCCGGGATTTGATGTGACAAAACAGCTTTTATTTGATCCTATGCATGATTTGTTGGAAGGTCTCATTCCGCTTCAGTTTGAGTTATTTTTGTCGTATGCCATTCAGAACAAGTTTTTTACTTTAAAAGAAATAAATGATTGGCTGCAAGGATTTAGCTATGCTAATGGTATTGAAAAGCCTAATATGATCCATACTTCAATGCAGATTCGTGGTAGTTTTGGCAGTGGTCAAACTTTGACACTTTCTCGTATTATATCATTTTTTATCTTAGAGCACATGGCTCAAACCGATGTCCATTTCATTTGTTTGTCAAAACTTATTCAGGTGCTTCAACTGTGTTTATCTTCTGTTGTTACTCTTCTTTTTTAATCCGATTTAAAAGCTTTAATTCAAGATCATCATCGCTTATTTTTGTATTTGTATCCTGATAAATTCATCCCAAAGTTACATTTTCTTATCCACTACCCTGCTCAAGCTAAACAGTTTGGGCCTCTATGTGAACATATGTGTATGGCTTATGAAAGAAAACATCAGGTTGTAAAGAATTTTCGTCACTTTAATTCCAAGAACATTCCCTATTCAGCATGTAAAACGATGATATAGACAAGTGGACGAGTTGAAGTTTAAAAAAGGATCTATTATTTCTGTTAAAGTAAATGGCATAATTTACAAGATTGGTGATATTACTTCATGCTTAAAAGAAGAAAAGTTGATATTTTACAAAATCCTTTCCATATCATCAGAAAATGACAAGCGTGCTTTTAAATGCTCTAAACTTATAGTACAAGCCCACTCATCATACTTGATATGTTGTGAATCTTCTGAACAAGTTGTCATTTATCCAGATACTTTAATATTTCCGTGGTGTGTCATCCAATATAATAATTCTTCAGGTTCTGTAAATGGCAGAATCAATTTTTTTTCCTTTAGCAGTGCCAAATTTAAATTTTTTTGATATAGGCATATGAGTTTACTTTTTAATGGACATATTAATTTGTTAATTTTTGTAGAATAATTTTTTAGATTTTACAGCAGAAACATGTTTAAAAATATTCAAATAAATGTTCAAAGTAAATTCAGATTTAAATATATATATTTTACTCTAGCTTATTTTTTGACTATCTTTATAAATTTTGGCAAATTTTGTCTTGTCTTTGAGATGACACAACCAGAGCTGTCAAAAGCCTTGGCGCCGCTCGAGACAAAATTCCTGAATAACACCCCATATTTCTGTCTCTTCATGCTATCAATGAAAGACTCTTTTTTTTTAAGTCCCTTAAATTTTTTGCGCCCCTAGAACATCTGCCGCTTGGAACAAATTGACCCTTTGTCCCCCCTCTTGGCGACACTGGACACAACGCAATAAATACATTTTGCAATAATAAATCACTAATAATGTTTTTAAAACGAAATGAACATTTTCTAACATGATTCTTTTATACATAAGACAATGTAAAACTTGGATCATTTGATTAAAAATTCTGTACGACAACAAAGACATTCATAGGACTAGTATGTTTTTTATGCGCTAAAGCTAACTTGATGCATAGAAAATTTTTCTACACCTAATTATAAACAATGTCTTGTTATTTATTGCTTGTAATAAGGCCTGGTTTTAAATATGCCAACATGAAACTCCTTAAAGTTTTAATTTTAAAAACCATTTGAACAATTGCCCACTGGGATTCAGCTAATTATCACACATTTCGCTATAATAATTATTATGTCAGACATTTTACTGTGTTAATATTTTTTTCAGATTTCCAAAATTCTTTTTGATTCAGATGAAGTTACTCGCCTGAGGACTTTTTTTGAGTATATCTTCTTTAAAATTTTTAAACAATGTCTTGACAAATGACGTATCGAAAAAGGAGCTGAAAAATAGTATTCTTCTGTACTGCCATGTTGTTCTTCCTTCCGACAATGACCCATGGGTTCGGAGAGAGTTTTTTTCTAAACTTAAGTCAATGCTTCTTTTTAATTTTCCTAACTGCTTGGAACACTGGGTAAGTATTGTTTTAAAAATTAATTAAATTTTCATGACCTTACAATACTTTTTTAAATATATTTTATAATACATGCATGTTTTGTTATGGTTGTATTGAATAGGTATTTGTTTGTGTACCCTTAAGAGTACATAAATACCTATTCCATAGTTTTGAAAAAAAAAATTCTCCTAGGATTCACTCCTAAGACAGGTTTCAAACATAATTAGGCAACAACGTTGGACTAAAAGTCATCGTACTTCAAATGGAACAGCAATTAGACAATTTCAACAGGTTTCAAAACCTAAAGTCTCCATATATTATGGATTCAATATCTAAAGCTGAACCAGTGCTTTCAAAAGAGCAGCTTCTTCTTGAAGTTGAGGTTATAATTTTAATTTATTGATTAACTTAATTTGGACAGCAATATGATTAAATATCAACCCCAATCACTTACTAATTTAAAATATGATTATATTTTAAATTAGTAAGTGATTGGGGTTGATATTTGACCGGGGCCAGGTTTGATAAAACATAGCCAGGGCTGCATTTATATTGATAAATCCTATAAGTATATTATTTTTAGGTAAAATTTATGTTGAGCTCCAAAAGACTTCAGGGAAGAAGGAGGAGGGGAGGAGCTTGGAGAGGACATTTGAGCTTGAAAAATATCTCTCCTCTAATACAGCTTACGGACTCTCAGTGGCTGGTAATGGCTAGTAACCCCTGCAAATTTTTTTTGTTTAGTTGAGGCAGGGTTTGTAAAAAGCTCTATTTTTAGCAGGGGCCCGGTCACTTACTACTTGAAATATTTTACTAATTATTATACACTTTTTTTTATACTAATTATTTTTTTTTACAATCAAAAATACATTACAAATAAAGTTGTTTAATGTATAATATATAAAGAAATTTTATAAAGTGTGTTATACAAACCTTAGCACCATGCATCATAGCATGTTATTTTATACAATTTTATAATAAATAATTTTTAGTTGACCAAGGGATTATGTGGACCATTGTTTGTTTTAGAATTTACGGTATTTAAATTTTTATATTTTATAGAATGAACTACTAAAATCAAAACCATCTATCAATGTTCTTGCGATTTTGAATAGAAATCTTTTTCAACCGAAAATATATGAAAAACTCCCGATTCAATTGTCAATGGCTCCCTGTTTAATAATTGCTGAGTTTAAACGCCTTTACCCACACTTTAGTTTTATAGAAGAATCATGTTCATTTTTTATTACTAAAGCTTTTGCAGGATCTTCTAATCACCTTGAAAGTTTGCTTGTTTTACAATGTAAATTAGGTTCCAAAAAAGCAAAGGATTTGTTGTTTAAGAAATCTGAAGTAAAATGAAATAATTTATGGTTTTATTCAATTCTTTTTATTGATTTCATATAATAAACTTATAAAAATATCTACTTTTTTTTTGCATTTATATATCTAGCTAATCTAGAATTTATTTGTTTATTACTAATATTTATTGATGATGTACATTTCAGTATAAAATTAGGATAAACACATTTATAATTTTTATAGTTAAAATGTGATTTCTTTAAGTCTGACGATCTAGTCGATGAGTTGAAGATACCTGCAAAGTAGGGTCCACAAGTTCTTTTCAACTCAATACAATATGGCGTTCGCAGTAGATCAGCATGCGAAATGATTAGCACAGATTTACGGACAATTAAAGAGGTTTTATGCGTTATTGTTAGCATTTACTATTTGTTAGATCTATCATATCCATCTTCTTTCTCACAACTGATGGGCCTTTTCCAAGAGATGTTGCTAAATGAAAGCTTTGAAAAAAAATCAAAGAAGACTTTCTCTTATATTAAACAGTTAACTTGATTTTTTGAATGCGATTACTAGTTATTAACTTTTTTATTTTATAAATTTTTTTATTTTATATTTTTAATTTTTTGTTATAACAACAATAAGTATACTTATTGTTGTTACTTATAATTTTATATTTAAGTTGTTACTTTAAAAAAAAAGTTGGGAAATAAAGCTTTCTTTGAAATAATAAAAATAATAAACTGATTTTGTAAAGTTTTGATAATGTATCTTTTGAAATATATTTAAAAATATAAAAATTAATCCTTGGTTTAAGTAGTTACATAAATTACCAGATTTGTTAGTAGATCATTGAAATGGTTTATGGTGTTTGATTTACAATTATGTTGAAATGAATTTATTTCGTCATTGTATATATTAAAAATATTTTATAGTATGTATTTTATGCCTTACTAGTAATAATAGCATTAAAAGATTGTTAAATACATCAGATAATTGGTATTATAATGTTAAATACATCAGATAATTGGTATTAATTATATAATGTAGTGTATAAATGATTTAGATTTTACATGAATGGAAACAAAACATGTAAAAAAAAAAAAAAAAAAAAAAAAAAAAAATATATATATATATATATATATATATATATATATATATATATATATATATATATATATATATATATATATATATATATATATATATATATATAACAGCATATTATGCTGTTAGCTTGGTTTTCGAATATAACAACAAATATAACGCCATTGGATAACGATATAACAGCATTTTGCTGTTATTTAAATTTAAATAACGGCATTTTGCTGTTATTTTTGCTGCTTATTTAAATAAATATAACAGCATAATAACACCATAATGACACAAAATAACGCCATTTATGCTGTTATATCGTATCCCAATGCTGTTATATTTTTGTTAAATATAACAGCATAATTTTTTAGTGTGTACTATTCTAATTATTTTTATTATTATTATCAATATAGCAATATAATACTAGAAATAATACTTTAGTTTGAACCATAGGTTTTAAATCTCTTTATCAGGATCGAAGTCAGCTTTCGAGGTGACGCTTTAGTACAAAATAGAACTGTTCGCACAAGACATGAATTATAACAAAATTAATTTAGTTATCATTTCAATAATAAAATTTTAAGTTTACGCAACTTGAATATTAATAAATTCTAAATAAAAAAAAGATCATGACAAAAAAGAAGTTGAAGCAATATTTGATACTAGTAAAATTAAGCGTATTCAAGATTGACAAAAAAAAGTCAATGACTTCGCTCTGGAGAGAAAAATGGAAAACATTTCAACTACGGAATTAGAAAGGGAGAACTTAGGCGAATTGAGATATCCCAATAAAGGTTGCGGCAGGTTAAAAAACCAAAAAGAAATATTAAGATCAAAAAGCATTTGATGAAATAAATAATTAAGCGAGTTGATGTGCTTTCATACAAATGCTATCTCATTAAGCTCAAATAAAGTAATTGAACTATCAGTATTAGCGTCAACATACAAACCTCATATTATATTTATCACGTGGTTCAAAGAAGACTCTTGAATGAATATTAAAAGTTATTATTTACACAAATTCAATAGAAATGACAATATTTTAAACAAAAGTATGGGTGGTGGTGTAGCGATGGATGTTTAGGACAATATATCATCATTTGAAATTAGGAACTCAACAATGCATATTACAAAATTTGAACAAATTTGGTGCCTTGTAAAGTATGGAGTTGAAATCATTAAACTTGGATGCATTTATCGTCCACCATCAAAATCAAAATTTATTTGTAATGCTGAAAAATCTTATTAAAACAAATATATAGATGTCAGACCAAGCTGACGGTAAAATAATTAAACAAATAGTATACAAATAAAAAAAAATGAAGTAAACAGTAAAATATACACCGGTATACTCATATGTGGCGACTTCAATTTTTCATACGTTTCTTATTTATCGTAAAAATGCGAGTGTTTGGACTAGATTTTATTTTTCGGATATTGCTCTAAAACTTTTGGGGTTTAGTTTTTCGAAGATATTCAATGTTTTTAGTAATTTTATTGATTTTTAGGTTATGAGCTGCTTTTACAGTTTTACAAATATTTTTACGAGCTAGCTTGTATTTCTGCTTTTACAGTTTTACAAATATTTTTACGAGCTAGCTTGTATTTATTAAATAAAATGGATTTCTGTGATCTATTATAGTTACATTTTTTCCATTCCTTAAAGTGGAAAGAAAGAATGTCTTTGCATAATTTAATTTCTGGTGTCCATCATGATTTAGAGTATGTGCAAAATTTTTTTTTTTTTGAAAACATTCTTTCATTGCTAAAGTGGCAGCATTATTTATTTTTTCGCATGTTGTTTAAGTTTGTTTTTCTCCAATAAAAGCGTAATCTTTAAAGAACTGAGAGAGGTTCCGATTATAAATTTCAATAAAGTTGTCATCTTTCCATGCATACTTTGGGATTGTATTGTATTTTTTAAGTATATTATTTATAATTGGAGTTAGACTATTATTTTTAAGATTATTATGTGTAGCGACGGGCGAATGGTCACTCATGTTTAAATGTGAAGAAGGAATAATTTTACAGTTTGTAAAGCATATTGATGATTCTTTTAAGACTGCTATGTGATCGATGTAAGATGAATTATTTAGCGTTTTATGCTCATAGGTATAGATAGGACCTATAGTATCAATAATTATATCGAAAAGAGAAAGCTCATTTGTTTCAAGAAAATTAGATAAATGCTTGGAAAAGTTGTTTCGTGTTCGGTTATTTCGAACTTCGGTGTCATATATATTTTCAGGAAATGACTGAAAACCACCGACAATTATACACTCTCCTTTATCTTTGTTTGTGTTTATGATTGAGGCAATAACAATAAGTTGAGACAGATATTGTTCTAATGATTCAGAAGTATTTCTGCGTGAAGTAAGATATACTCCAATAAATTGCTATGAAGTATAACTAAATTTATATTAGGGTTGTTCGCCGAAAAACAAAACTTGCGAAAATTTCGCAGGTTTATCTACCGTAATAGAGTTGTTATTGCCGAAGTTGCACATGCGAAAATGCACATTCCGTAACGTACTATACGAAAATATAAATAAATAAAATTCCGTAATAAAGCATTGCGAAAGAAAACTTGCGAAACAAATCATTTCGTAAGAATTACTTAGGAAATAGTTCCTAACGGAAGGAGCATTCCGGAATGTGCAGTTACGAAAAAGACGCAAAAGATTTTTTGTTACGATATATTTAAGATATTAACTGTTAATAGTTTAAATAATAAAAAAATGTTGTTAAATGATTTTTCAAGTGTTTATACAAATATATCATATATATATATATATATATATATATATATATATATATATATATATATATATATATATATATATATATATATATATATATATATATATATATATATATATATATATATATATATATATATATATATATATATATATATATATATATATATATATATATATATATATATATATATATATATATATATATATATATATATATATATATATATATATATATATATATGTTTCTACACATGTTATTACACTGAAAATAAAAATTCATTATAAAGATTTCGGGATTTAAAGATGTTAATTTTTACAATTAAAATCACTTCTTTCGTATGTTGCAAATTAGTTTTATTTCGTATGTCAACTTGCGAAATGCTAAATTTCGAAAGTAGCATTTGTGAGATGAACTTGGACGATTTTGAATGTTTTGTGATATTCCGTACGAAATAAATGAAATTTCTCGTTCTCAATCTGCAGACGAAAGAATGTTATTTTTTTAGAATTGCACGTAATTTTTTGTTTATCAAAAGTACGTTATAATGCATCTGATTCAAAGATACTATTTATATTTTTTTTGCTTGTGGCTTGATATTTCATCAAAAAAGAGGAAAATATATTGGCAAAAAATATTTCCATAATCAGCTGAAATGTTTGAATGAAAAATAATTCTCATAAATTATACAAATGTATATTTGTATATCTGCCTTTTCTCGATGCAAACGCATTGTTGATCCACTGTATAAAATCCAACGTTGTTCCAATGTATATGGACCAACGTTAATTTAATGTATATACATTAAATCAACGTTGGTTTATACATATTGAATCAACGACGGGTTAATAACATTGGATCAACGCAAGATTTATGTTGTAAAAAAATCAAACTTTTGCGATGTTTTTACATACATTGGATTAATGTTGATACATATATATTGAATCAACGTTGGGTTATATGCATTGGATCAATGTTGGGTTTAGATCGTAAAAACAATCATCTTTTTGCGATGTTTTTACATACGTTTGAGCGATGTAAATGTACCACCTGTTTTTAGTTCCGTTGGTATTAATTTCATCATTAAACAAATGACATTGGATCAACGTTGGTTTTGCATTGAAAAAAACAGTCGACGTTCACGATGGTTTTACATACGTTGACCTAACGTAAGTGTGCTAGCTGGGTCGTGAAGGTATAAAGAAGCTTTGAGAAGCTTTTATCACTCATAACCGAATTCAAGACTATGAGGAATAATTGGAAGTTTTTTTAAATTGTCGTCATTGCGTTATCAGTTCTGTGGATTATTGACTCATCTTATCTATTAACCAAAACAGATTTCACTGTTCAAAAATGACGGAAAAAAAACTACAATAGATAAGCGCATTGAAAAAAGGGAACAATAGGGACATAATGAATAATCAATTAACCATTAGATTTGAATCCATTTGATAATTATAAATATTTTTTAAGTGCCTTTTACCTACCTATCTCGTGGTGTCATCTGGTTAAGATATTCTGGATGAACCAAAAGTGTTACAATTGACATTTTGATGTATCGATATTTGCTTCTATTAGCCAAATTGCTTAACTACTTTTAATTCACACGGCAGCTTCAAAAAGCTTTTCTTCATTTTTTTACCTTTAACGATGACGACAGCTACAGAAAAACTAAAATTAATAAAAACATATTTAAGAAGCAGCAAGTCACAACATTGTCTAAGCTCTTTGGCCACTACGTTTATTGAGAAAGCAAAAGCTCCCCAATTTGATTTGGATAAAGTGATTGACCAATTTGTAAAGAAAAAGGCAAGAAAAAAAAAAACAATTTTAAACTATGCGCTGGAAAATAAAAAAGCCTATAAGTTGTGAACAAATTGATTGTATACAAGTTGGTATTAAGTAGGTTAAAATCATAGAGCTTATATACAAATGGACAAATAAAGCAACAATTGTTTTGTCCAGATTAGAAGAATGTAAACATATACTGAAACACCAATCAGATTACTGAAGTCATGGCTTTTTTCAAAGAAAGACGAGCAACGTTAAATGTTATAATGAATCAGAATTACTAACCTAACCCTTTACTATATTTTCTAACTGCATTATAAACAATTTGGTATCTTCAAAGTGACCAGCAATTTTTGAATCACGTCAATCTAAAAAGAATCCAAAGTGCAGCATTTGAAAAGGACAAAGGTTCAACTAGCGTACAAGTTTTACAAGTGGACTTCGCCATGTCATTTGCAACAGAGAACCAGAATGAGATTCAATCTGCATTGTGGTCAAGAACTAGCGTTTTTTTATACATAGTTAAGTTCCTTAGTTATTTGAGTACAGCATACAATCAGCAATTTACTTGGAAATATACATCAACTTCTCATGGGAAAGGTGTGGTTGACGGTGTGGAAGGAAATGTCAAAAGACTAGTAAAACAAAAAATGCTATCTCAATCAGATGTTGAAGTTCAATTTGCTAAGGATTTTGCTGAATTAGCGTCACAACTAGTAACTTTTACTAAAATTATTTACATTTCTGAAGAAGATATTATATCGCAGATTGACACTTTCAGACCATGGCAAGATGTCATTCCAATTACCGGCATATCAATTTTCATATAATATCTTGTGATTCGAAGACAATTCGAGCTAAAAAGCACGATTTAGATGACGAAGATCAAGTGTTCTTTTGCAAATAACTATTTTTAATTCTTATGTTTGTACACGTCCGTCACGTAACAAAACTGTCCTTCACGTAAGTTTATTATTTACTATATTTTATTAAAAACTGATTATTTTTCAAGAATCAAAAATTATACTTTTGTTTTCATTAAACTCTATTAACAATTAAAGAAAAAAAGTTGTATTTTTTTAATAACTTGCTGAATTTTTCAAATGCATTTACTTAATTGAAAATGTGGTATTTTATTTGTCCTACACATAATGCGAACAAAATGTTAGAAAAATCAAGTCATTTTGAAAAGTCAAAGATAGATTTTACTGTATATTTAAGCAACATTTAAAATTTTTTTTTAACTATAATTTTTTTTGAAAAATCATTATTTGGTTCCTTGTATAATTTAATATTTCATTTCCAAACAGTGTACAAATGTCCTTCACGTAATCATGCAATGCTCCTTATGCATCCTTTTTCCTCAATTCGATAATGTCATGTTCTGCAGCAAATCTAATTTTCATTAATTTTTATAGAAGAAAGTTTTCCTTTTTTGTAAAATCATATTTTTGAAGTTACCTGCCATCAACGATGCTAAGGACATCTTGTTTTATAAATAAAGCCATTAAACTTTTAACAGTTGAGAACAAATCTTCAAAAAGAAAGGGAATCATTGGGGCATTGGTTTGATGTTTCAGTAAGATTTTCTGCAACAAACTGCAATGTAACCAAAAAACTTCAATTTAGTTGAAGTTAACTCATCTTTTGTTTCCCCGAACCAGAGTTGTTAGTCCTTGGCCTGAAAATTTTGGCTTTTGCATTGATTGTTTTGGCTTTATCCTTAAAAAAAATACATATTTCTTATTGGTTTCGTTTAATTCTGCCCATAACCTTAGTTTATTTTTACAAAATGTGGTTTTGCTATGACACCACTTGCTACTTACAGTTGTGTTAATAAATGGCCTTAACGCTAGGCAAAAGTTGAAGTTTTTGGTCTTGAAAATGTTTGCGTAGGCGTTGGCCTTAAAACTCTTAATCTTGACATTAAACGCTTGACCTAGGCCTTGTAACTTTTGGCCTTGATCTTGGCCTTGGACTTGTAATGCATGGCCTTGGCTTTGGTCTTGATACTTTTGGCCTTGCTAACAACTCTGTCCTGAACACTTGTCATAGCTCTTTCATTTTGGTTGCTTACTTTTAGAAAGAGTCTCCCAATACTTGGTTATTTTTTTTAACATTCTCCCAAATTAAACAATGTTTATCTGCAACTTTTTGGTCTACAACCCAGCGTGTTGAGCAAAATGCACAAGGAAAACTCTCACATTTAGTAACAGTTACATAATCAGTTCTTCAAGCCAAAGAATCATAAAAATGGTTGTATGATGTTTTCATTAACTTTTTTATATTCCATTCAGCAGATTGAAAACCTGATTTGAAACCATGTATTAGATAAAGGTTACAGCTCCCAATGTTAAGAAGTTTAGGCAACTCTTGTTGATCATGCTGCAATTCAAAAAGATTATGAAGGGACCAGTTTACATTTGTACCTTTCATACTTAGTTGAGTCATAATTATAAGTAAATTCTTTGCTGTAGGGTGACCTAGAAATACTAAACCTAAAAGCTTAGAGTCAAAGTATCTGGATTCAACATAATTTAGATTGCTGCTCCAAAACTGAATATTTAGAAAAGTTGACATACGAATGTTTTTTGCCATCCATGTGACCGATCAAAGCTCTTCTGCATATTTGATAAATTAAATTCAACTTGGCATATTTTGCACTTGGCTGACTTTTTTACACTGCCTATTACCAGCCATTTTTCAAACAAAGGATCACTTAACCATTTGTCTTTGAATTACGTTGCAAACATTGAATTAATGTAAACACAATATGATTAATTTTCTTTAAAAATGTTAAACATTAACCCTGGTAACCCTTGAAAGGGAAGATTTTTATTAAAAAAAAATTTAAAACGTTAAAAAAAAAATTAAAAAGTTCCCTGATTTTTTCCAAAATTTCCCCCTGATTGTATCTAAATTTCCCTGATTTGGTGGCAACCCTGTTGTTGATAAATTTACAAACTTGTTGATAAATTCTGTGAAAGTTAAAACAAATTTTTCTTTTAAACTTTGAAAAAAGATTTTATAATACAAAATTTTTAAAAGAATCTAAAAATATTTGGCACATGCGTATTTCAAATATATATGTCAAAATACATTTGTATCTATTACAAACATTACCAATACAAAACAAGCAATTACTGAGACGCATCTCATACAATATTATCATGATGGTAAATTCACAGTTTCAGCTTCTTTTTATCGTTAAAGAGAAAAATGTTGATAATCGTAACCGTTACTTTAGTTTTGATTTTATCCGTAATTATCGCAAATTTGATAAGGGTTCACATGTTCAATTTTTCTTCGAACAAAAGGACGTAAAAACGGCCAATTATATGTAATAAAAGCAGTTAAAAAAAAATCAGATTGCATATACAATATACATAAATTATAAAAAAAAAAAAAATAACTATATAATAAATCAATTCTTAAAAAAACTTTTGATACAGAATGGTATGTTCTTTGTTGCTTTGCTAAACAAAAAAAAAGTCTCATAAAATACAAAAGTTAATCACTACAAAAAGTAATCAGAACAAATTTTTCCCCGAAAATTAAAAAATATCTCACAAAAAGTTATGTCTACTACTTTTAAACAGTGCTTTAACTTTTAAAATGTTCACATTATAAACAAACTTTTCAATAAATAAATCGCCCTTAAGTTTTAAATACCCATATTTATAAAAAATTAAATTACAAAGTAAAATTTCATACAACAAGTAAGTATACAAAATAATTTGATACTTTTATAAATATTTATATAAAAATCAATGTTTCAAGATAATGTTCAATTTTTTTTCTTCTTTTAAAGAATTTCTAGAACTATGTTAAGGTGCAAAAATGATCTCATAAAAATTGCAGCTTGACAAAATAGACTTTATCACGTCGCCATTTTATGCATATGTAGATGACATAGGTATAGGTTTACCACCACCTCCCTGATATCGACCAGGTCCTTGAGCTTGCCTTCTTTTTTTTGTGAGAGGCTTATGAACTTTTTTATTCTCAATATATGGGTTATCTGATGGAGTAAAACTTTGGCAGTAATAAACAAAGGCTGTCAACACGCAAAGAATTAACAATGAAGCAAGAATAATAACAAACCAATATCGACGAAACCAAAACTTGATACCTAGTTAAAAACAAATATTAAAGCATTTTCAACAGAGTTAATAGAATCCATTTTTAAATTAGATAAAAATTAATAAAATAAATAAAAATTTTTAAATCTCTTATCTGCTTTTGTACGAACGACTGTTGTCATATTTGGGCTGAGTTTTTTAATGATGCGCTTTCTTTTTAAGACAAAATATGAAAATTTAATGTAAATATAGTCGGATCATCTCTTGCGAGCTACTCAACTAAGTTAATATTTACTAAAACTCAATTAGGCGTGAGATATCATTTAGCTAACTCACATCCTGTAACTTAATGTAACTGTTTCTTTTTGCTCAAAAAAATCTTTTATTTATCTAGTTTTATTCCTTGATCGTCATTCTTTTTTCGTTTTCTTGAATAATTTGGCATAGTCAGTGAGAGTATTAAGAGATTATACTACTATATAATTTCAATAAATTGAAACTATATGATCTCTTTAAAAGATTAAGTTAAAAAGCAACTATTTTGATACCGGAAGAAGCATTAAAATTGTTAAAAATTAAAAAAAAATTTAATAAGCTAAGTCATAGCTGGAAATATTGTGTTAATTCAAAACTTCATTGAAATTTCTTCTTTTAATTTTTATCCTGTTAACTTAATAAAGGTTCTAAATTGTTGAAATTTTTTTTAAAACATATTTTTTAACAATGATCCAAATCAGATTAATATACAAACCTTTTTATCTTTATCATTAAACTAGCCTAATTTTAAGGTATTTTGTCTATTTTAGTATAACCAGTAATAATTTGAAAAAATCTTTTCAAGTATAGCTAGAAAAATAAGTCAATGTAACAAAGCATTCAACTCTATATAAAGCATTCAACTCTATATAAAATTCTTTAACTATATATTTTGATACATGAAGATAAACTATGTAAAATAGTAAAACACTCATTCATTTTTTTAAAATGAGAGATTTGCTTTATACATTAAATAAGTAACTGGTCAAAACTTTGAATAATCTTTTTTTCCTTCTTTTTATAACGAAACCTCTGGAAATCCATATTTTTATCATAACTTTTATTCTAATTATCAGCTAACTACAACATAATTAAAACAAATGAATTGTGTGGTTTTTAAATCTTATTTTTTTGAAACAGCTCTTTTTTAGATCTTGAAATTTCTTCCAAACAAATATCAAATGATTAAACTAAAATGACTTAAAAATAATTGTAAAAACAAAAAATAACATTAAACCTTCCTCAGTAAAAAATGTAGCATACAACATTCTCATAGGGCCATCCATATCAATATCTTCACATACAGCTTGTGAGTTACAATAACCTTTATAATAATTGCAAGGCATTCCACGAGAAAGTGTTTTATTTGGCATCTGAAATTATGAAATACAATTTTTATAAACAAGTTTCAAAAACCCTAAAAAATGCTGGTTTTTGATTTTAATCTAACATTAAAAAAATCAAATCAAAAAAACAATCAGTAATCACTGTAAAATATGTAGCAATCCTTAGAACTTTTTTAATCATGTTTCGTGCAATTTTAACACTAATTTAAGAGTTCTATTTCATATTATACACACCATGTGTTTTAAAGCCTATAACACACAAAAAAAAAAAAAAAAAAAAAAAAAAAAATTAAATTTAAGAAAATCTTTTCCAATTGGTATTTATAGACACTTAAGCTGGATTTTGTTGTAAGCCTAATTTCACTTGCATTTAAAATGTTGCAAAAAGTTACCTATAATTTTTCTCCTTAAAATTTTTTACGTAACTGTAAAAAATGTTGATAAAAGTTTAAATTTAAATCCTAATTAAAGCCGTTTCATAAATAAATAAGTCTGCTTAGTTATTTCATGGAGTGTCACAAATAATTTAAACCTTACATTTAAAAACATTTTAAATATTTTAAAAATATTTTTGAATCAGCACTGCCGACCCTAATTATGAAGCCTGTAACAATAATAATAATATCATTTTATAATGAGATTTTTTACCATAACTTTAATATCAACACAAATATTTTTCGTTAAATAACAACAATTGAGTTATGACTAAAAACAGAGAATTTTAGTCATAACTATATAATAATAGTTAATAACTTAATAAATATGAATTTGAAATGGAGTTCGACTCCCACCACGTCCCTGGAAGTACCGCGCTCAACTCATTATTTCCGTGCAGCGGTCTTGCTTGTCAAGGTTCGTGTTTCGGAGTTAAAGAGTTGAGAGAGGGTTGTACCACAATTTACAACAAAAAAAATAAAAAAATTAAAAAAAATGAGTAGCCTCCTCGACTGTAGTGGCCCCCTCAGGCCTTGGGGAGGAGAATTAAAAAAAAAAGAAAAAAGAATAAAGTTCTCTAAAATTCCAAAATGCTTACAAGCATCCTGCAAAAATCAAATTTGGGATCTCTTAATTTGCGCCTTGGACTAGGCATTTGTGGTATACCTAACATAAATTAGTAATTAAAATAGAAAGTGTTCAAATTTGCTTTTGTATAAATTAGATTTAATTTAATTGAAAAAAACTCATTTTTTACAAAATTTGATGACATTTTAAAAAATTCACTGAAAAAACATTTTAAAAATTCACTGAAAAAACTAACTTAAAGAAAAAATTAAAAATAAACAAACTATAAACTGAACAGAGAAACAAACTTAATGAATGATAAAATAAGTTAACCAGAGAAAATAAAAAGTTAAAATTAATATATTTATTAATTTAGAAATGCCTCAATTAATAGTTCAAACTTAATAATTAATTTTATTCAAATTTAATAGTTTAAAGTTGATAAATCTTCCTACATCACCAAGTTCGTATAGCGCTTAGATTCATTAATTGTTATATTAATATTGTTATATTTTATTTTATATTTATATACTAACAACTGTTAGCTTGATGTTAGATGAAGGTTCAAATCCTATTAACAGATAATTATTTTTTTATATGTTTTATTTTCTTAGTAGACATTAGAAAATAATTTTTTTTATTTTGCAGACATTTGAAAATATCGAAGTTTCAAATATTTCAATAATTAAGTTTTAAAGTAATTAAGCTTGAAACTAAGCAACTTTGAAACTTCAATATTTTCTAAATTCTATGAAGTGAAACACTTTTAAGTGAAAATAAAGAAATATATTAATTTTGTGTTTTTATTTTTTCCGGTTTATCTTCTAATTATTTTATCATTCAACAATTTTAATTTTTTTTATTTTTTTCGTGGCCAAGTTTTTAACAACAAAAAAAATATATGTGTGGTCATATAAGATGTGTGACCACATGCATCTCCTAAGAAGGTATGCTAGCAGTGCATTGCTAGATACTATTTCATAATATTTTTGGATAAAAGATTAATGCATAACAGATGTAAAAATTTTTATATTAGTTGTACACATTTTTTTTTTTAAATTATCTTCGCTTCCAACAAGGCTGCAAGCAACCACTAATTAGTGTTGGAAGTCACTGGAAGAGAAAAGATGAAGATTGTAGAGCAAGATAACGATTGACAGACGACTTAAAAGATTGCAAATTATATGAATCAGGAAAGCAAGATGAAGGAAGCATATTCCAAAGAACTGATGTTCGAGGAAAAAAACTGGACAAATTAGAGTTTTTGGAGCACTTAAGAACAGTAACAGAAAAAGGATGAGACTTAATTGAATGACTAGTAACACAAGAACGAATTTTAGTAGATGGCACAAGAGACGCTAGCTCTTTCGAGCAGTGCCCATTGTAGTATTTGTAGAAAAGAGAAAGAGAAGCAACATTACGACGATGTGACAGAGGTTAAAGGTTGGCTGCAAGAGCAGGTCCAACTATGTTTACAATGCGTTTTTGCACCTTGTCTAAAAGAGAAAGGGCATCATTAGAAGATCCGTCCCAGATATGGCAACAGTATTCCATACAAGGCCGGATTTGAGATTTATAGAGATAGAGAATAGAATCCAGAGTAAGAAAGTGACGAGCTCGATAAAGAGAAGCAACTTTAGCAGATGCTAATTTTGCAACGGATTTGATATAAGGTTTCCAAGAAAGATCAGAAGTAAGAGTTAATCCTAGAAGATGAAGGGTAGGAGACTCATCGAGTACATTACCGTTCATAAATATAGGAAGGTCTAAACTATTGCGATAACGATTAGCCGAAAAAAATTGCGTTTTATCTGAATTAAATTTCACCAGCCACTGTGAGCCCCATGCTGTAGCAGAAGTGAGATCTTTTTCAAGCTCAGATGCCCCCTGCAAAAAATCAGAGAGAGTTGGCTTCTTATCGTGACAAGAATAAATGGTAGTATCATAAGCGAACAATGCCAACTTAGATGTGAGAATATCTGGAAGATTGTTAATGTAAATTAAAAAGAGTATAGGGCCAAGGATTGAACCTTAAGAAACCTCTGAGGTTACAGAGTAAGAAGAAGAGTGCTGTCCATCAAGGACAACTTTTATACTACGATTGGAAAGGAAGGATTCAATAATCTTAAAGATATTTCCAGATACACTGTAAGAAGAAAGCTTATGGAAAAGTCCAGCATGCCAAACTTTATCAAACGCTTTAGAAATGTCAAGAGCAATGGCCTTAACCTCTCCACTTTTATCTAATGCGCGATAAAACCTATCGGTTATTACTGATAGCAAATCAGACGTAGAACGAGAAGATCGAAATCCATATTGATGATATTGAAGAAAGTAGGTTATGAGATTCAATATGATAGATAAAGTGTTTCTAAATTAAAGATTCAAAAACCTTGCTTATGATAGGAAGAAGACTAATGGGACGGTAGTTAGACGAATCGGATCGCTCTCCAGAATTTTTAAAAATAGGGATAACAGAAGCTGCTTTCCAGCAGGCTGGAAAACAAGACTCTGATAAACACTTGTTAAATAGTTTTGAAAGGATAGACGACAGCTCCGGAAAACACTTCTGCAAGACTATAACAGGTATGTTGTCCAGGCCGCAAGCTGTAGAAGAGTCTAAGCGGGAAATCACTTTAGATAAAGAAGCTGGAGTGATACGAATGTCGAGCAATGGATCAACCTGTTTGACGGCTATATCAGGTAGAACGCAACTAGTGGCAACAAGAGATATTGATGAAAAGTTCTTGGCAAACAACTCAGCTTAGTCTTTAGGTGTGGTGACAAAGTCTGAACCATACAAAAGAGGTGGAATTACAGACTTGCCCTTATTATTGATACATTGGTCTTTTATCCAAAAACATCATGAAAGTGAAGTCACCAACTTGCAGCACTAATGCTGTCACCCTCTTTGCAATGCATTTGGATTTTACAATTAAAAAATTAATACTATTATACACTTTATGCCAAAAAAAATTCAAATATTAATTTAAAAACTCTAAAAAGTATTTATGTTAAGAAACAAATTTTTATGCATAGCAAAAAAAAAAAAAAAAAAAAAGTTTGCAAATAACGTTTTTCTTGAGACCTGCCTATCAAATAAAAACTTTTTTTCATAGACCTGAGCTAAGTAATTTTTTTAAAAATTAGATTTTATTTAAAGTGAAATTGAATAGCTTTTTTCATTTATTTTTTTTACTTCTAAATTAGTAGTAATTAAAGTTCTCTACAAAAAATATGATACTTACGAAGTCAATTTTATAAGATGATGTACATTTTCCATTGTATTGACAGCAAACTTTACATTTATCCTCGGCTGCATCACACATGCATCCTTCTAAACCATATCTAAGACAGAGAGATCCTTGACAAAAACCATTAATGCAAACACTTCGTTCCTTGTCACATAATGTAAGATTAGCTTTGAACTTTGGTAGTGGACAAGTATAATGTAGACCATTACATACCAAGCTTTCCATACATTCAGTACCATCAAAACATTGAAGATATTGGCGTGCAATAGTACAAGTTTCATTAAGACAGCAAGGTCCTATAATATTATTCAAAAACTAAATCAAATTATATATATAAATATATTTATATATGTATAAATAATATACAAAATATAAATAATACAAAAATATAAATAGAATAAAAAATATAAATAATAGAGTAAAAATACAACAAACCGGACAGTGCATAAAAGCGGACACTTATTGAAAAAGCTATATATCTTCTTTAAAATAAGATATTTGCAAAACTTAAAAAGTTTATAATTTTTAGTGAGTGAAAAATTAAAAAATTTCAAAAAAAAACTATTTAGATGATAACATTAATAAGATATTTAAGTTCAAACAAAATGTAATCCTAAAAATCAAACTTTTTTTTTGAAATTAGGTTCTTAGCATTTTAAAAAGCGATTCAAAAAGGCAATTTAAAAACAAAGGAAGCTATTTTGTTGGAAGTTTTCTGCTAATTTCAAAAATAGTCTAAGATTTCTAATTTATTTTATTATTTTTTAACACTGACTGAATTTTTTTCATTTAGGTTTTTTAAGTTTTCACACTTTCGTGTTAATTAATTTTGCTCTTTGCACTTATACTGTTAAAGTTAAAGTGTAAAAGTACACAAAGCAGGCCTTCGCGTAAGAGGCATTCACCTTGTATGACCATGAATATAATACTTTCTTTTGACAACTTGGCCACGCCTCTATGCAAGTTTTGATATTTAGCGCTTTTATAAAAGATACTAAAAAACAAAGCAAACTTAACTTAAAATCAATTATCCATTAACATAAAAAAGAGTTAAATCTAAAAAATATATTTATTATTTAATGTAAACTTAATTGTAAGAAAAAGTTAGAAAAATTTATCACAGCTCTATAAATCATAATCATTCTCTCCCATGAATAAATAGGCCAATACAAGGACAGATCCATAGTGAGGGAAAGGGCCAAGAAAGGCGTCTACCCCTCCCCTCTCATATTTTTTATTTATTTTATTAGAAATCGATGTTTAAAAACCTAATTAAAATAAGCTGTTTAAGTGCCATAAAATTTATGGTGCAACACGTTTCTTTAATTTCGCTTATGCAAACATTGGCGTTTGATTAAGATTTTTTAAAACGAAGGCATCACTTCAGCAATTTTTTATTAAAATAATTTTGCGACTGATAGTTTATTATTTATTATAAAAAACACATTTAAAATAAAAAAACAATTAATTTCAGAGAATTTTAAAAAAAATTGCCAAAACATAATTACTTTTTTTAACTTTTAGCGTTACTTTTAAGTACAAAAACTAAGTTGCAGCAATATCTCTTTATTTTAAAGCATTTATATGCCGTTTTATAAAGTTTAATAGGTCTTATGTTTATTAAACAAAAGAAAACACAAACATTTTTAAAGGCCTATAGATGTTATATGCATTATATATATATAAGGATATTATATACTATAACAAACCAAAAGTAGAGATTTTTTAAGACGTTTTTTAAAATTTCTAAAAACATGGAAACACTGTTGGAAATTTGTTGCACATGTATCATGATAGAGATGTTATGTTTTAGGTAGTTAGTAAGTCTGCGTGTTCAACACACATTAAAGAGATAACTTTCTTATATAAAATTTTTTTTTTACATGCAAACTGAAATTTTCTTCAAACTAAACTGGTCAAGAGTCCTAGTAAGTATCGGATGGTATGAAAAAAAATTATATTCTAAAACCTAAAATAAAATAAATTTAATAACTCCAGAAGGTGACAAGCAGAAAAGCCAATTAATAAATTCAAAATTTAGTAACTCCAGTAGATGACAAAATAAAAAAAACAAAACAAAAAAAAAACCTTAGTAGATTCAAAATCATCTGATTTTTGTATTATTATATGTGCGCCAACTGTACTCGAAGAAGTTTCTGATTTTTTTGAAGTAAGCCACTACGTAATTATATATACTATATATAGTAGCAGTTGAATATGTTCTAAAATTGGTGAATAAAACAATGATTTATTTTAGCTGTTTTTAAATTGAAATCAACTAAGATATGCCACCCTCCCCTAACCACATAAATCAAGTACACCTCTGCTTTAAAATTTAACTAAAATTAAAAATATATAAAATAGTTTTTAGGACTTTAAAAGGATGCACCTGTAACTCAGTTTTTGTTTATTCTGCTATTTTGATTGATGTTTTTGTAAAGCAGTGAACCTTGAAAACGTGTATAAGCTTTATTTAACATGTTTAAGCTATAATTTTATAAAACATATTTAAGCTAAAATTGACTTTCAAGTCTTTTAAATACTAAACTTTAAAGTAAAACGAAAATTTTTGTTAATTACTGAGTTTTGTGAAAATGTTAAACAATTAAATTAAAACATTTTTAACTAAATAAGAACATAATAAATATTTTTTTATATAAAGTAGATAAATATATAAAGTAGATAAATTTTGTAAATATATATTAGATGTTGAAGAGATGTTGAAGAGTAAGGGAATTATTCTCATGTAAGCTACCTTATGAAAATGATATATACATATATCATATCTTTCCAGGAAAGGCGTGCAGTTTTCTTCTCTCGCACGACTACGAAAATGTTTTTCAATTTAGAGAACGTGATTATGGCCGTTTGCGCAAGTTATTATATGCGTTACTGAAAAATTGTTTTAAATTTAATATCTGCATAAGAAATTAAAGTAAACTTAAATAGAAAACAACAATAATAGTTTAAATAATTTGTGTGTTGTTTTTATTTTTTGTGTTTTCTTAGTGGTTATTATTATCGGCAACAAAATTCATTAAGTCAAGGCAAAAAAAAAATAAAAATAAAAACGTTTTAGGCATTAAAAATGATGATTTTCCCATATTTTATGTCCTTTTTCTTTTAAAGAGGAAAAAGAAAATATGTATCGTCATCTGTTTGTAAAATATATTTGTATAATTATAATGTAACAAGTTTATATCAAGAGTTAAATTATACGATCGCGTTTGCAAACTCTGGTATACTATTTGGTCTTTAAAATTTTAGTTCATGCAAAGCTGTGTACTTTGTTTATAAGGAGCAATTTGTTTATAAGGAGCAAATTGTTAAAAGTTTGCTAGCAAGAAAGTTACAAAACAACAAAACAAAAACAATAAACTTACGACTACAAAAGTGATAACACTTTAGTCACTAACTGCATTATAAAAGTAATAAAACTATAATAGTGTTATTACATTTATAAAGCACTTATTACTTTTAAAGTTCATTCTTTGTTCAAACAACATTATTAATTCCAAACATTTATTACAGTAGAAAAGCATCTAGAAAAAATAAAGCGGATATTCAAATATTAAAAATTTAAGGAACTTTCACATATCACTTAAACAACGTTATAAAAAAGTACTTTATAAAAAGTATAGCATTATAAAAAATGTTAAGTAAAAACGCAAGTTAATTTTAAAATCAACCAATAAAAAATTTTTATTGGTTAATTTTAAAATTAACGCGCATTTTTACGGTCCATTAGTAACGTTTTTCATAATGCTAAACTTTTAATACGATACATTTTCATAAAGTTGTTTGTCACGATTTTATAAGTTACTTTAGTTTTAATATTATTTGAACATCCACTTTATTCTTCTAGATATTTTTCTTACTAAAATTTGAGAATACTAATGTTGCTTGAATGACAAAGAATGAATTTTAAAAGTTATAAGTGCGTTATAAAAGTAATAACACTATTATAGTGTTATTACTTTTGTAATGCAGTTAGTGACTAGAGTGTTATTACTTTTGTAATCGTAAGTTTATTGTTTTATTTTTCGTTAACGAATTTAAGTTGATTCTCCCCTTAAAAACAAGGAACACAGTTTTGTATAAACTAAAATTTTGAATACTAGATACTTTTCCAGATTTTGTGTTTTGCATTCGCTTAATTCAACCTTTGTTATTACATTAAAATTATACAAATAAATTTTACAAACATATTGCAATTTGTATTTTTGCAATCCTCTTAAAAAAAATTAAGAAAAGGAAAATCATTATTTTTATTGTAGACTTTAAACTGTTTTTTTTTTGCTTCTCCTTATCTAATTTTGTTGCTGAATGTAAATTCTAAAGAAACAAAAATAAAAACAGTACACAAATTATTTAAATTATTAATTTGTTTTTATTTTTTTCTATTTCAATCTCTTTTTATTTTGTTATTTTATTTTTTTGTTTTTGAAACTTTTTCAGCATTATTATAAAACTTGCAAACGACCGTGTTCACGTTTTCTAAAATATTATAATTGCGTGTGGTCATACGAGACGGAAAACCGCACGCCTTTCTTGGGAAGGTTTATATATATATATATATATATATATATATATATATATATATATATATATATATATATATTTATAAAAAAGTATTTCACCATCTGCAATTTTTGTTAATTATAACTTTTTGTTATGTTTAGCGGAAGTAATGGACAAACTAAGTCAGCAATTTTTTTGTTGTATTTACTTTTTTTGTGTGCAAACATACTTATACATTTTTTAGTTTTCATAAAGTAACATATCTATTTAATAACACTAAAGTTAATAGTAGTAGTACCCTTTCGAGCCTGTTTGACACACCTCTTGGCAGCCATTGCATCCAAGGTAATGGCGAGAAAGAGTTGCACCAGCCTTGTTTTATAAGAGAACATGAACAAAAGTGTATCTTTAAACAAAAGTGTATCTTTGAACAAAACTGTATGTTTAGTGTATTTTTATTATGTATGTAATATCATGTTTTACAGTTTTACTTACATTGCAACCATCTTTTTAATTTTGATCTATGGCATTTATTTTTGTTTTTTACAGTCTTTTGCTTTTTAAATAATTTTAAACTTAAGTAAGTTGCAATACGGCCGAGCGGTTTGTGCGCCGACATACGGAGGTGGAAATCAGGGTTTCGAGTCTATCATCGGAATCCTTTTTTATTTATTTTCAATTTTTTATTGATTTGTTTAAAATACAAAAAAAAACTTTTAAAAGAGAACTATGAAATTGTTTTGTTTTGTGTTTTAATTTTTTTTAAAAAAAAGCAAGCTTGCCACGCAGCAATCTAAACTTTTTTTGAACAAGTAAGGGGGTTTAAATAAAATATTCTTATTAAAAACATGATTTAAAATTTTGTTTTTATATATAAAGTAAATCATTTTTATCAACTTAATTATTTTTAAAAATAATAAAAGTTAAAATTACTTAATTTTAGGATAATAAAGCAATTTAAAGTTTCATAGCTATTTTACAATGCCTCAGTTAAACATTCTAAACCGAGTGCTAAATGACGGAATTTAGATAACTATGAAAATAGTGCCTAACATATTTAATTAGATAAATCTAGGCATTTAACACCATGAAGAGACAGTTTTATATCTTTAATTTTTTTACTAGTAACTTCAGAATTTTTCTTTCTAAAAAAATATACCGGGTAATAAGAATAAGTATACGAAAAAGGTACGTTATGAACTTTCATTTTTGCTCATAATCTATTGTTCACTAAAAAAATATTAGAAGGAGAAATATAGACAAAGTCAATGGAATAGAGTTACTCTGTTTATGAGAGAAACAAACTATTTTAAAAATCTCTTATAAGATCCACTTATACAAGATTTTTTTTTGTGTGTGTGTTCATTTTGGTGCCCCAAAAAGAAATTTTTATTTTTCAGTGCTTTAAGAAGGAAACAATAAATATAGTTTTTCTATATGTATATAGCTATTTTTCTATAGCTCACTACAAAATATAAGTAGGAATAAGTATAGAAAAGGGTAATGTGGAATAAATTTACAAAGACTTGTGTTTTACAGGTCATGACAGCTAGTAACTTTATTAAAACTCATGGCACAACTTTTTTACAATTTAAACTTGATACTTAATACTTAGAAGACAATTGTTTTATGAAACACTATTACAAAAAATTACACAAAATGAGTGTTACACAAAATGAGATTTTACTAAACATTTATATTTTTAAGAAATTTTAAATTGACCTATGAATCATTCATTTATTTATTACATTTGCAGTAAAAACATACAAGAAAACTAATTGATTTAAAGAAAGAAAAAAATGACATTTAAAGTAATAATGTAATCACATTTAAAAGAAAAAAGGTTCTCAGTTAAATACAGCAATTATTATATATTTTTATATTATTATAAAAATAATATATTAAATATTTTTATTAAAACAATAATTAAATAAGAACTTCAAAATTTATGAAAAAGAGGTTTTTAAACACCAATACAACCCTCGGAATTATAGTTGGCATTGCTGACAATGCTGATCTAACTGCCGACCTGAAAGGGTATGAGGTCGGCAAAAAATGACCGACCTCGTCTATGTTTTACAGTCAATCTTTTGTATCAAATAATTTTGCCGACCTCAAAAAGATTGAGATTGGCAAATTATTGCCAACCTTATTTTTCCTAATTCCAAGGTTTGCCAGTAAAATAACAAATATGAAAAAATTTAAAAAAATTGATACAGTTAACATCATAAATTCACCAACAAAGCAAATTCAAGTAGCATGTCATAAACAATAAAACAATTTTAAAAACTTATTTAAAATTTAAATGATTTTATGAAAATATTAGTAAATTTTATGAAAATATTAGCATTTTCTGAAGAACATGATTATTTGTAACACCTTGTTTTATAAAACTCTAACTTTTTTTTTCAACAGGTCAAATATGAGCAGCAAGACTTCATTTTGATAGGCCAAATAAAGAAATTTTACTTGTTTCAGGCGATTGTTGACCATTGACCAGACATTTTTTTTCCACACTGTATATATAAATATATATGGAATTTTGGTAAGGTTAAAATTTACAAGGTACTGCAAGCCCTCGGAGTATTAGGAACTACTTTATAGTAGTATTACTCTATTACGCTAATAACTAACGCAATATTGTCAAAGAAGAAAGATCAAATTCAAGATTGGTTGTTCTAAACAATCAAAAAGCTATAACTTTTTAATAAGACTGATGTAAACAGCTGTTTGATTGCCAAATAAAATGTAAAAAAAAATTTAAGAAATAAAGATATTGTTAGTAAGATTATTAATATAGAAAAATTAATTTGTTAAATAAAAGCCTATGATATGCTTCCATATAAAGTAAGTTGATTTGGTTATGAAATCAAGACAAAAGTTATGAACATTACTGTTCAAAGAGGCCAGTTGTAAAAAAGCCACTCATTATGATAAGCAATAAATTTACCCAAAACAACAATATTGACAGTTGGGTAAAAAAAAAGGGAAGAAAAACTAATTGAATATATATTGTAATACTATAAATATATATGATTTCCAAAATTAGACAATTTTACTAAGTTAAATTAATACTATATATAAGACTATAAATATATTTTACTAAGTTAAATAAGACTATTTTACTTAAAATTTAAAATTAGACTGTTAAAATATAATAGGTATAGGTATAAAATATAACTTTTAAATGATTAAAGGGACTACCAAGTCCCTCAGGACTTGGTAGTCCCTTTAATCATGTTGTGTACATATTAAAGAGAATGTTAAAAAAAATGTCTGAGCAAATTTTTTTTGATTAAAACTAGTAAATGTATACCAAGAAAAACAAATCTTGTTGTTTTAGTCGAAGCTCGTCTTCTCCATTTTCTGCGGTATTTTGAGTATGTAAAATAAACGCGATTTTCCAGGCGCATTATACAGACTTGATAATTTATTTAAGTGCATTTAATTCATAGAAGCTTTAGTACATGACGTCATCAATTTTTTTGTTTATTTGTTTAAAACATTATTATTTTTTACATGCAATTTCCAAATCATATTCATTTTTATTATATTTTAAAGTTCTAAAATGTGTTTGTAAAAAAATTAAAAACAAAATAGTATTTTATTTGCGCAAATTTTTTTAAATAATCATCTAGACCACATGTATTTTGATTTCTTTTGTTATAAGTTTTTCTTTCAAAATGTTAGATAAAATAATTTTTAACCTAAATAATAAGGCACTTTTATTAATTTACTTTGTAAATATTAAAAAAAAATTATTAACGCATTTTTTCTCTGATCTTTAAAAATGTATTTTTTGGTATTGAGGTGATCTTATTTCATTATTTATATTTCCATTATTATAGCATTATTTCCATTATTATATATTATGGCGGGGGCTTAAAAATTAAAAAACTAATACATATTAATTTTTATTACACGGACATACATGGAAACATAATTAACTTGAATGTTCCTAAAACATCTTGCGGAAGAATAAAAAGAATATTCGCGAAAAATAAAAACCCCCCAAATTTACAAACAAACTAATTCGATTTGTTCAAAAAATATGCTGACTAAGCGAAATTAAGTTCTAGAGTATTCTGTTGAAATGTTTTAGGAATTGTATTATTTACGATTTGTTTCGTTTCTAGCATAAATTTTTTTAGGAATATATTATCAAATAAACTATTACTTTAATATTATGGCTCATTCTCGGAGCCACATCTGCAAAGCTGTAAATCTTTTAAACTATTATCATTTGTTTACAAAAATAAATGTTTTATAATATATATTTTTTAAATTGTCAAAATTTTGAAAGTTAATTAAAAATTATATATTTTATTAGTATATTCTTATATTTTATATCTTTTCCTAGTGCTTGGTTTAATTGTTCGTTAGATTTGTTGAAACAACTTGCATCAAAATGTAAAGAACACACTCATGAATCATCAGAGATATTATATAACTCGATTTGGCGCCTAGGGGTCCTTCAGTCCACCATTGCTGTGGCCCATGTAGCCACGGCTCTGATAGCTACAAAAAAACAAAGTTTTTTTTAATGTGAAGATTTTAGAAAATAAAATAACTAACTATAGTTAGTTATTTTAGTAAAATTTTTAAAAAATTTCTAGAATGTTTCCAATGATGTCATATACTAAAGCTTCTATGAATTAAATGCACTTGAATAAATTATTAAGTGTGTATAATGCACCTGGAAAATCGCGTTTATTTTACAGACGAATACCGCAGAAAATGGAAAAGACGAACTTTGACTAAAACAACAAGATTTATTTTTCTTGGTATACATTTATTAATTAGTTTTAATCAAAAAAAATTTGCTCAGACGTTTTTTTTTTTTACATTTTCTTTAATATGAACACAACATGTCTCAGGACTTGGTAGTCCCTTTAAAGTAGAGTAAAAATAAAATTAAAAATTTTATAAGAAGTAAAATATAAGTGTTTATTTTTTGTTCAAACCTTTGCTTGGACTACACTGATAAGCAGGATTACGAAATGTACATGGTGTGCCATATTTTGCCCCATATGGAGTACAACATTTTTCTACACAAGTTGATTCTGTTCCACAATCACAAATTTCACCTTCCTCAAAAGCACCATTACCACAAATTGCCCAATAGCGATCTGTAAAGCAGCCAATAGTTGGTTCAAGACCTTTTGCATCTAAAAATAAAAAAACTTTGCAAATTTGTGTGTGTGTATATATATACATATATACACTCACACACACACACATGGCAAATAATGCCTAATACCGGCATTTTTTTGCAAAAAAAAAAAAAAAATTATTTGCCATAAAAAAAGAAAAAAAGGGCCTCAATTCCTAATTTGGGCGGCGCCCAAATACAGTTGACGCTGTCCAAAACGGTCTAGAATAGCCCCTATATATATATATATATATATATATATATATATATATATATATATATATATATATATATATATATATATATATCAGGGTTGGCAAAAAAAACCAAAAAAACCCACCTTAAAAAAACCCAATAAAACCCAAAATATATTTGGGTTTTTTTAAAAATGACCTATTTTACAACTGATATCTCTGATTTTAACACTTGTAAATGCTTTATTATCAGCAAGTGCAACCTTTATACTGTAATTACTCTTGTAAACACTGTATTTATATACACAACGGTCTTTAGAATATACCCAAAATCGATCAATCTGTTTTTGTAGCAAGTTGGTTATTTATTATTTTTTTTAAACATTTAGCAAGTTATTATAAATGTTATTGAAATATGTATTAAAACATTAAATTAGTTAAATACTTATAAAGGAAATAAAAATCATTCTATTAACTAAATTTCAAGACATTACTAGTTATTTAGTATCTTTATTCTCCTCCCGAATGTCTATATTCCTTTATATTGGTATTTGATCTTTTATTTTTTAAAGGTTATGTTGTTAACTGCCAAAAAAAAAAAAAAAGCCACAAGCAAAATACTATATATAAAAATTATTAAACTTTATTTACAGTTTAGAAATGGAAAGTTATCAGGCAAAAAAAAAATGGTACAGTTTACTAGATTTGTCCTTAAGTGCATACAACTTTAAAACTTAAAAAAAAATTAGGTTATGTGCAAGCAAGCTTGCAACATGTTTGCTCATTCAATGAGAGAACATGTTGAAAACTTGTATGCATTTCACAAGGACAAGATTTTTTGGTAAAAATGACACTCGTGCTCATCTGTCTTTTGACAGGTTTTGAATATTTTGCATCAGCTACAAGTTTACAACATGTACTATGAACAACGGGTTGAAAGCAGGTGACTGAACAGCGGGTTGAAAATTAACATCAGTATCAAGTTGCTAAAAGGTGAAGAAACACACACACAATAGAGCTATATGTGTTACTTTGATTCAGTTTGCAATTTGCATTGCAAAACTGAGCCGGTAAAACATCTTCAAGGAAAAAAAAAACTTGGTGGCGAAGACACTGTAATGGTTCTTAACAAATTTACTTTATATATATTTAGAAACAAAGTTTAGGCAAAAATCCATTTTTTGCCAGTCCAGTTGATCAGGCCGATAACTTTTCCAGGAAGCTGGACAGTATAAAGCTCTGATAAAAAAAAAATGTAGTGATTAGACTAGCAGTTTTCTTCTATGATACAAAAATGTTTAAAAAGTGTTCATAGTCATCCTGATTGATAATAACTTATAAGGTTGCAACATCATGTTGCAAACTTGTTGATTACATGTTGTAAACTTGTGCAAAGTAGTTTTTGAAATGATATGTTGAACATGTTAGTAAAAAAACTAGTTTGCAACATTTATATTGTCTTACCAACTTTGAATAACTCAATTGTCATGATTTTTACACTGATTTTTTTTTAGTCAAAAATATTCTGAACATGTTTTTAATTTAGAGCAATTAATTAACATCATTTATAGTTGATGGAGTCCCTTTTTGCACTATAGGTAAAATGTGCTAGTAGACTAGTAGCAAAACATTTGGCTCGCAACCAGAAGGTTGGGGTTCAAATTATCTCTGCTGAAATTACTGTCTCAATCTATTTCTCCACACAGCGCCTTTGTTTAAAAATTTTAGTTGTTAATGTTGTTTGTTAGTAAAAATGGTAATGTTAAGGATTGAGACAAAATATTTTTAAAAAATGAGTTGCTCCCTTGACTGAAATGGTCATTGGAGCAATAGGGAGGTGAATTTATGAAATTAAAAAAAAAATTATTGTACTCATACAATTATAAAAATTTGGTATTTTGATTGATTTTTAAAAAAACCCAAAAAACCCAAAAAAACCCATTTGGGTTGGGTTTTTTTTAAAAAACCCTGGGTTTTTTCCAACCCTGATATATACATATATATATATATATATATATATATATATATATATATATATATATATATATATATATATATATATATTAGGCCTTGTGATGAATAAAAACTGCGCGACGCATGAGCACGACGCGATTTTTGACGTCATTAAATTCTTTTTATTTGCTTTTCATATTTATCGACATTAACTGCACCAATTTACTTAATTACCGCAAAACTACTTTAAATCGTTTATGTAGAAATGTTATTATTTTAAAATGTTTTGGAATGTTTCGTTTTTTAAAATGTAAAAACATTTGTTTATTTTCTTGATGTTTGAGACGTTTTGTCTATACTAAACGAATAAAAAACATAAGTTTTTCAAATAATTATTTTTTCTTTTTAAAAAGTCAGAGAGTAATAAACTGGAAATTTTAATATGGTACGATTAAAAACTGTGTAATAGCTAATATTTTTACTAGCGATTTTATATAATACTTATTTTTATTTATTTTCATAAAGCGGTTGATAAGCACAATCACTCGTATTATTAAAAAACTTTAACGAACGTTTTGAATAGATTTTTAATGTTTACAAGGAATTTTATTTTTGGTAAAATAAAATGTTAGATTAAAAATCTTTTAGGTATAAAAGAAATATTTCAGCGAAAAAATTATTCTTATAAATTATTCGAAAAACTATTGACGTTCTATTTTTCAGCAGCTGTTCTTGAGAACGCTTTGCTGAGTTTCGGTAACTTTTAAGTAATTTTTTTCGAGTTACTTTTTACAAAAATTTTAATAACTGTACTTTTTTATTGAATCAAGTAGAATACGTTTTAATATTAATCCTTTTATTTTTTTTTATTTGCGCTCACCAATTTTTAAAATGTTTTCTCGAAATTACTCTTGAATACTTAAAGTATTTAAGAGTAAATATTAAATACTTAAAGTATTTAAGAGTAATTTCGAGAAAACATTTTAAAAATTCGTCTAACAGTTAATAAATATTTTTAAATCTATGGAATAATTTTAAAACCTAACAAACCCCCGTAAAATAATTATTTACGTTAAAAATCTAAAACTAAAAGAAAGTATTTTTGTTCAATTTTATCGACAACTTTGCTATTGCTGATTAATTTTATTAAAATGCTAGCTTAAAAAGATTTAAACTTTTTTTTAATCTGAATTTTTTCTACTTATAATAATGAGCATATTTATTTTTTTTGTAATTTAAACTTTTATATCAACTGCGTGCGGTTTTTAAAATACTTTATTAAATGTTAAAATAATCATAAATTACTTCATTAAAATTCCGCTCAAAAATATCTTTAAATATATTCAAACAAAAATTTTTTTGCTCGACGCAAATAGCCCTAGCTACATGCAAAATCGCTCTTGGACGACGTAAAATTCACATCGCCCGACGCTTTATCGCAAGGCCTGATATATATATATATATATATATATATATATATATATATATATATATATATATATATATATATATATAAAACTTAAATTGCTTGTTTAGATGAGCACTATGACATCACACTAAAATAGCCTGCGGCCGGGGGTGTCAGTACATACATTGACTGACAAATAGCCTGACTCACAGTGGAGTGCTGCTACATCGACTAAGGGTTTGGCATAGGGCAACAATTATTTCTTTTATTTTTCTTCTTAATGTTTAATTGAAGACTTAGTGCTAAAAGTACTTAAGTCACCATTTTAATGAAATTAGAAATAGGTAATTTTTCTAATATGCTTAAGCGCAGTGTACAGGATAAATTGCAACATTTAAAAATGTACATATGCCCCCCTCATCCTTTTAAATTAGTTCATAAATTTAGGATTTTTGAAGTTTTGAAGGAAATAGTAAAATGTAGAATGCAAAATTTAGTTTTTAGAATGTAAAATAAAATTGCAATAATTATTAAGTTAAGAAATTTTTTTCTCACTAACTTATTTATTACATAAAACATAAATCTCTATATCGTAGATTAAAAAATGTGAAAGCAAATAAAAAACTTTACTATTTTCTTTTAAAAAGGGGAGAAGTGTTAATGCTTAAAAGAATTCTATTCACAAATGCAGGCCTTGTTATGAAATTTTGATGCTTAACGGAAAAGCGAGTAAATGTAACTTTACTCAATTAACATTTACATTGTTAAAAGTTTAATTATGTCAGTTTCGTATTTTAAAGTACCTTATATTTACATAACTTATATATTTTAAAACATTCATTAATTTTTTTTCAAATGAAAGGTAATTGTTTATGATTGAACTTCTTAATGGTTAAAAAAGAAATTAAAACTATCAAAATCTACATAAAACAAAAACTTTGCATACTAATAATAAACTCGTTAATTGTTTATTATACTTTCATTCTATGATCAATTCTTCTCTTTCTCTTTTCTACAAATACTATAATTGGCACTGCTCTAAAGAGCTAGCGTCTCTTGTGCCATCTACTAAAATTCATTCTCATGTTACGGGTCATTCATTTATGTCTCATCCTTTTTCTTTTACTGTTCCTAAGTGCTCCAAAAACTTTTATTCCTCTATTATTTTTCCTCGCACATCCGTTCTTTGGAACTTACTTTCTTTATCTTGCTTTTTTAATTCATATGAAATCCATAAGTTGCCTGTCAATCGTTATCTTGCACTAAAATCTTTATCTATTCTCTTCCAGTAACTTCCAACTTTAATTAGTGGTTGCTTGCAGCTTTGTTGGAGATGAAGATGTATTAAAAAAATATAACGTAAAATTGTAAAACGTTTAATGTAAAATTTATTTTCAAATAAATGTAAAATATTTTAGCAATTTTTATTAAAGTGTTTTTCTAAATGCCTGCTAATTCATTACATTATAATAAGCAAAAGGAAATTAAAAATTTTCCCTTCCTTATAAAAAAAGAGAAGACTTTTTTGTCGAAGAGAATTCTTTTCACAAGTGAATTTTTTATTTCTTAATAATTTATCAATATCGTGTAAAATTCTTTTGACGTTACATGTTTAAGAACATAAATTATGTTTATTGGTAACTGATAAAATCAATCTATAAATTGTTTATAATCTTTATTAAAAATATCACATCAAACACATAAAAATTAAAATAAATAAATTGTGATACACAAATAATAGATTAAGTATAAGATTGTTAAGTATAAGATTTTTTTTTTAAATAAATTAAAAGGAAATATAATCTTTTTCAAATAGTAAATTTAGATTCAATTAATAATTATTATTAACTTAGTTTGAATAATTGGTCTAAAATTAAATTTAATTACAGCCCAGCCTATTTTTTTAATGAAATGTTTGTACGCGTGCATTTAAAAAAATAATCAGTAAGTATTCCTAGAACAATTTTTATAATTTGCATAGGTACACATTATTTGCTTTTGTAACACAATATTTGCTCTACACTGAGTCATATGTAAATGGATGTGCTGGGAATAAAGTTTACAACGCAACTACTAGTGTAATTTGATTTATATTTACTAGTTTTTTTTATGTATCTTTTCATATTGTGAATCATTTTATGTATCTTTTCATATTGTGAAAACTATTTTTTATAAAAAACTACTTGTAGTTTTATGTGTAGTTTTTTATAGCCTAATGAATATAGCTGGTATAAATTCACAGATTTTATATTTATTTGCAACAAATCAGATAAAAAAAATACACAGGTTATTTCTGAAAAATCTGTCACTTTCGCTTATGAAAGAGCATCTGACATTTCGAGTGAGCCTTCAGAACTTGCCATTAGATGTGCAGTCATTTTTGAAAATAAATTAAGGAGTGTCTACATAGGGAGAGTTCAAAAAGAACAACAGCCTCCAAAACGCGGAACATGTCGTTCGTGTGCACGAGACAGGAAAAAGACCTCAACATCAATGAAATGCCATAATTGTCAGACATTTACATGTAAGCATCACTCCCAAAAGAAAATTGTATGTGTTGATTGTGCGAATATAAATAGTGATTTCAATTCTGACTTATAAAAAATATTGTTTTTTCTTGTGTTTTCTTTTAATAAATAGTTTTTTACATTTATTTATAGTTTTGCAAATAAAATACTTTACTAAACTCATTGAAATACTGCTTTTTCTTTAATTACTAATAGTTATGCAATTTTATGTCAGCATATAATAGTGAAAATTTGCTGTAAGCTGTATGACATAAAATTTACGGCGCATGCCTGTTAATGTTAAAATAAAATGCGTGCCTGCTCGAAGGTTCACACGATATTTGACCTCATAAAATTTTCTTTTTTTTTTATATTTCAAAGACATTTTTAAATTACTGCAATAATATTAACTACCGCAAAATGAGTAAAATGTTATTTAACAGCTTTTTTATTATTACTATAAGAGGAATGTTCATTTTATTGTATTATTTTTTTTAATATTAAATAATTAAATTTAATATTGCATTTTTAAAAATGTTTGATTTTAACAAATTTCTTTCTTTTTTCGATATTTGCATAAATGAATTAAAATATGTTAATTTTTTGAATTTTTAAAATGATTATTTCTTAAATTTCTAATTGTGGCTTTGCAACTACAAATTGATTTTTTATTTCAAAAAAATTAGAAAGTAACAAATAAAAAAATTACTTTAAATTATTTACTTTATTTATTGAAAGTTTATTATTTTATTATCAAAATTATATCACTGTATATTGTTGTTAAAAAACAGTTGCTGCGATTTAACTTGAGTTACAAAAACAAAAGTTTAACTTACATTTTGTGCAAATTTTTGATGCAGCTATTTATTTAAAATTTAATTTTGAGTAAAAAAAAAAATGCTTAGGAAGGAAAACCAAAAAACAATTGCGATAAAAATGAGCTAATTTTTAAGAACAAAAAAAAATTTAATATTTTAATAGTAAGTAATATTTAAAAAAAAACTTGACAGTAAAGTTGAAACCAAATTAATTTTAATTTTAATAAACTTTTATTTGTATTAAAATAGTTTTAAATTAAATCATATATTTTTTATCAGAATTAAATAATGTTTTTATGATATTTGCTTCAAGCTTAAGAAATTAATCATTAAAATAAAATAAAAACAAAATAAAAATAAACTTTTAACTTTATTTGAGTTTTTTCCATTATTAAATAGCTCTAATGTCAAATATAATCGTCATTCAAATTTTTGTAACAAATATTTTTATGTAAACGCCAAAAGTGACTTTTTTTAAAATTATTAATTTCTTCTATCTTACCGCTTATTGAATAACTTAAAAGTTAAAAAAATGATAAAAAGCCATTTAACCAAAATTGCTTCCTTTTTTTCGTAAAATTGCTTAAGACGGACGCATATCGCTCAACGCGTAACACTTTAAAACAAGGCCTGCTGTAACAAGTTAAAACACATAAAAGCAAAGGTAACACATTAAAAGCAAAGAGTTTTAAAATATTTGTAAATTGTTTTTATATATTTGACAATACTTTGTTGTCGTAAAAAAGAGTTATTTTTTGATAAAATAAGTGCTCAATTCAAGTGAAAAACCTAATGGCGTATATATTGGCATGTATATATAAAGTATATAAAAAAAAAAACTTACTTATGACTGGGATCATTCTAGCAATGCTACACCTTGAAAATAATTTATTGTTCTTCAAATAACCAGAAGTGGATTTGTCATACATAATGAAATTGCCTCCTCTTTCTATACCAGGTTGACAATCTTTATTTGCAGGATCATGCTAAAGTGTAACAATATATGAAAATAACAATATATAACTTATATAATAAATTAAAATATACTAAAAAAAATTTAAACATTAAATACTTCTTAAATGATTTTTTTTTCTTAAGCAGTATTTTACTTAAACATAAAACATTAAGAATTTTCATACAAAAAACTACTAAAAGGTGATTCAAATGTTTCTCTAGCATTTGAGACACTTTTGAAAAATTATCAAAACAAACATTTTTGAAAGTTAACGTTTACATCAAACAAGATGACTAGTCTCATTTGAGTCATAATTAGTTAAGTTAGTAGTTAGTAGTTCAATTTAAAAAAAAACAAAGATAATTTATTTTAAATATTCTGTGGTTATTAGAATTCACTTATTACATGTTATATTATTAATATTTATTATATTATTAATATTTATTATTAATATTTACAATTAAAACATACATCATATAATTTTAAGCATTGGACAGAGCACTTGTGTAAATGAAGAAAGTTATATATATATATATATATATATATATATATATATATATATATATATATATATATATATATATATATATATATATATGTATATTTGTATTAGGGTGTGTCAATTTGATGACTAAAACCCAATATTTTCAAAAAAAGAAATTTTAGTGAAATAATGGTAGGATTTCATAAATGAAATGGAGTAATACTTTTAAAAATATATTAAATTAAGCGGTACCTACGTTTTTTTGAACTTTCAAAACTACTAACTACTTTAACTAAATAACACATTTTATAATGCGTATAAAATATTTTATACACATTAGTTTACCTTTTTGCACTTTTTTAATCGCTAAAAAATAAACTTAGATGTATAAAATTGTGTTGATAATAAAAAAAAAAACAATTGCTGTTTTAAAATACAGGGTTTAATAATTATAGTTCCATTTTCATCCATTTTTAAGTTTTTTTTGTTGAGTTGTTACATAAAAAGCCATCTTGCCCTATTTTCCCCTATATATACGTATGCATATATACATAGGTGTATATATATATATATATATATATATATATATATATATATATATATATATATATATATATATATATATATATATATATATATATATACACACATATATATATATATATAGGTATATATATATATATATATATATATATATATATATATATATATATATATATATATATATATATATATATATATATATATATATATATATATATATATTGCATTAATATGTAACTTTTTATCAAATTAAATTCATTTTAACTGCTAATTTGAAGCAAGAAGACCTTACGGTTTTGTCACAGAGCGCCACAGAAGAGCATTTAAATGAAAGTTCACACCTCCTTCCTTATCAATTACGTGAGAAGTATAAAACAGCTTTCTTGCTAAAAATCTATGAAGTGCTTAGGATTTAAAAACTCTTAAAACTTTACAAACTATTTTCACCTATTTGTAATGTGTTCTTTTCATTTTGTCTTAAATAGTTGATTGTATTTGATTGTCATATTATTACTATTATTGAATTTTTTTTTTTTTTTTTAACTTTTACAACTAGACCAAAATTTTTCTTTTTATCAACTTTCAACTCTTTATTTATTTGATTAAGAATCCAGAACCAAAACATGACCCACAAATTTATTTTACTTCGGTTGTTAAAACATAGATTTACTTTGGTTGATTCAAATTTTGATTTTGTTAACTTAAATAAAATTATAAATTTTCAAATTTTTCATCATTTTTTAATTTATCAAATTTATAATGAAATTATTAGGGGTGTCCTAGATAACTTTTTTTTAATATCTGACCAGATATCAAATACCCAGATACTTAAAAATTATCCAGCCGGATAATGTAATTTAAATCCTAAAATATATTTTTTATTAAGACATAATATTACCAAGATAAACCTTCAAAATGGCGAGTTTTGTTTGGAAGCTTTTTAAAATTAATGAAAGCTGCGATTTCACAGCAATTTGTATTCCATGTGGAAACCAGATAAGCAGGGGATGTAATCTGGTCAGAAGTCATTTTCCACAACTCCAATGCATAGTCATGCAAAAAAGAGGGGGAAAAAAATATTGAATCTTCTTTAGCTTTTTTTTAATCACTTGATTAAAGAAAAAAAATGAAATTTTAAATTATTGGAAAAATTAAAAGAAGTATTAAAAGCAATAAGAATTAGCACTTAAGTTACTAGCACCATCTGAATATTTTCAGAAAATTGTTTTTATTATTTATCAGAAAAAGTGACTACCTCAACATGAGGGAGATGTTAATTTCTCCACATTGAGATAAAAGAAATATAAATAAGTGATAAACTGATGTATTTATTGTGCACATATAATTTTAGTAGTATTTTAATAATAATAATAATAATAATAATAATAATAATAATAATAATAATAATAATAATAATAATAATAATAATAATAACAATATTGAATAGAAACCATTAACATTAGATTATTTAAAAATATAAAATTTCCAGATTTCTTTCAATTTTCAACATGAAATATCTGGTAAATAAAAAACTGGATAAAGTTATTATCCAGCCAAATATTGGTAACTGAATAATACTCTTATACGGCTGGATAGCTTATCCAGGACACCCTATAAATAATTTATAAATGCAGGCTTTGACTTCCATAAACATACAAGTAAAAGTTTTATAGCATGTCTGGAAATTTTAAAATATTTTATTTATTACACATTTTTTGCATATACCTGAGCTCCAAAAGAATGTCCTAGCTCATGAGCAAATGATATCTCAGTTATAGCCATAGGAGCCTCCCGATTATATAACTGAACAGTGACTAGACCAGTATTGTATGTTTTCCAAATACCACCATAGTTAGCATAGGGATCACATATTCCACCAGGTTGACCATACTGATATGCAATCCATGATAAACCTAATACACCATCCTCAAATGACCTATCAGTAAACAAATATGCAAGACATACAGAACTATGGTTCATTCGCGAAAATTGTTCCAGAAGTTCATATGCAGTTACAAATCTTGGTTTTATTGCAGGAGGAACTGTGTTTTCTAACCATACGTGTACCTCTTTTATTCGAAAACCAATACCTTCTGGGCTATAACTACTATCTAGTTGATCTGTTGTATTAAAAGTTTGGTTGCGAAAAATATATTCAACTGCCTGATAATGAAGAACCATTTGATCAATTGCTTGTTCTCGACGCACATATTTTTTCATAAATAAATGATCAGCAACTAATTTAAGATTACATGTATTCATTCTGCGATTTTTAGTTCCTCTTCTGAAACGTTGTTTTCCTTTATCTAAATCTTCCTTCATTTTATTTTCTAAACCATTTCCTTCAAATGATGTTGGTCGAGATGGTATAGGAGGATTAACAAATTTTCTTTCATGTTCAACATCATTTAAATTGTACATCACAGAATGAAATGAGCTATCAGTTTCATCATTGAAATACTTCTCTGCAGGTTCAATATAATATTCATCTTTACCTAAATGTATTTTTCCTTCAAAACGACCATCATCGATTTTCCCTAAGACGTGGCTCTTTCCTTGGTGAAAGCCTTCTACCTCTCCTTGAAAAAATCTTGAATAATCATAGTCAACCTTATTTCCTAATCCATCAACAATCTTAAAATCGGATGCAAAAATTTCGTGGTTTCTTCTCATGTGCAATGTAAAATTTCTATTAAAAGCATTAAATTTTAAATGCACGTTTGCGTAAGGAGAAAGTTCAAGGGCTCTTCTGGATCTTCGATGAACATCTTCAGTATCATATGTAATCTTTTCGTGATGGCGAATAAAACTATTTAGAGGTTGTTTAGTGTAGCACTTATTCAGTATGATAAACAATAAAATTATTTCTATAAACCTAGAGGAAAACATGATTTTTTTTAATCTTTACTTGTCAAACTAAAACATGCGCCATGTATTACAAACTATTTTAATTACTCCCTTTCTTTGATTCTGCGTTGCCTCAATCCCAGGAGCATTAGTGTAAGGGAAATTAAAATAAAATTCCGTTTTCTTAACTTTTCCAATGATTATCACGGCTAGTCCTGGTATCGCTAATAGTATTCTAAAATTTCAGGAAATATCGGGAACTGTTATGTTGTTAATACTCTTTATTCACTACTGCGTATTTGAAAGGGGAATACAGTTTTTGCATTTTAACATTATAAATAATTTTATTATAATATTTTTACGGTTTTTTTACTTTATAAAAAAATAACTGTTTTAAAAATAGTGAAAATTTTTTTTTATAGACATTTTTTTAATAAATATTTCTAAAGCTATCTTTTTATTAGTAATTTTATAGCAATCATTTAACAAACCTACACCCTTGTTGAACTACCATGTAGACAATAAAGTTCAAGCTAAACATTCAAAGCTATAAATGATGTCATTTTATGACTAATCTGTGACTCAAAAAAAAAAAGCAAAAAATTAATTAAATTTTTAGAAAGGACGTTTACGTGACTCGTACGGTCGTGTTAATACAAGCGTCATTTATAGTTTTAAAAATATTTTAAGCAGCATGAAAAATTATTTTTGTTTCAAGGATGTCGGTTGTGTTAATACTATCAAATTATTTTTTTTCACACTCAGTATGTTAAAAAGTTCAAGAAAGTTTTAAGTATGTTAAAAAGTTTTACAAAGTTTAAAGTCTTTTCAACTTTGATCAGTTTTATTAATAAAGTTGACAATTAATAAAGTGAAGTTCTCATAAGGTTGTAGTGCTAATTAAGAACTTTGTATACATCACAAGCAAATAGCCGGACTAGGAATATTAAAGTCAAATGCGTAAATCTAGTTACCGCAATAGAATTCGCGAGTTTTACTTTTTTGGAATATTTCAATTTCTCATAAAGAGTATAAGCGTTAATATATATATATATATATATATATATATATATATATATATATATATATATATATATATATATATATATATATATATATATATTAATATCAATGACATTGGTATTAATATATATATATATATATATATATATATATATATATATATATATATATATATATATATATATATATATATATATATATATATATATATATATATATATATATATATATATATATATATATATATATATATATATATATATATATATATATATATATATATATATATTAATACCAATGTCATTGACATTGGTACGGAAGGAGGCGTGAACTTCCTGTCAAATGCTCTCCCGCGGTGCTCTATGATAAGACCGCAAGGACTTCTGGGAGCACCTAAAATAACTACAAAAAAAAAATGAAAAACATCAGTAAAAATTTATATATATTTTTACTGATGGGTTTGTAAAAACTTAAAATAGCTAAAACAAGATCAAGTAAAACTAAAAAAAAAAGGTAACGGAACTTAGATCTTAATACTATATAGTATTATATTGAAGTACCATATTGAAATCTAAAAAATTATATAAATGCATCTATATAATTTTTTAGATTTCAATATGGTGATTTAAAGCTTACGAAAGTCTATAAAAAAATTTCTCATAGTAATTACTGCAGTTAAAAATCTAAGTAAAGATCATAAGTAACCAAAAATTATCAAAAAATATAATTTTCTTAACAATTTTTGTGATGTATACGTATAACTACAAAAAAAATCAATATTAAAAAGCTAATAAGACAAAATTGGCATATCAATATTGGCCAATATGAGCATGCCAATACGGCTCAAATATTGGCATTCTAATATTGGACAAACAATATTGGAGCAATATCAGTATCCTAATACTTTCCAATATTGGTATACCAATATTGGTGCAATACTTTTAACCATTATTGGCGCAATATTGTATATCTTGTCCAATATTGGTTAAGATACCCAATATTCTACCAATATTGCACAAATATATCTTGCTACTAGGGATCAATGAGTAATATATTGATATATTTTGTCTCATGAATTTATAACGTATGCATTTCTTCCTTGTGCAATCTAACAAATCTTGCAAAAGAATCATATCAACTAATTATGACCAGAGACCATCGTGTTAAAATTTCAAACTTATTCTTTAAAAAAATACTGTAGTTAGTATTTTTCAAGATAAACAAAAAGTTTTGTAACTCAGTGTTAAATAACATTGATCAAATACTCTTATTTGCTGTTAAAAAAGTTGAGATCATAATAATACTGCATAAAATAAGTTAATAAAATGTTTCATAAGTTAATATAATGATATCAATTATTTAAATATTTTTTCATATATTTTGTTGTTTAAATTTATTTCTTTCCTAAAAATTATTCTTTAAAATTTAATTTTGATTAATTTACTGTGTTAAAATAAAAAATAACTCGCCTTCAGGTTTCGACGTCATCTGTACGGTTAATAGTTATTTAGGTTAATATAAACTTTCAAAAATTGGCATATAAATTCGCCGAATGGTTACACACAAGCAGTGAACGCCTGAGAAAAAAATGAAGTACATTAGAGCACGTTTACATAGCTTTTCATGTCGGGGAGAAATGAAATACTTTTATTTCGGTCTTCAATAAAACACACATATCTGTTTATATTCATTAGACGAAACGAAATTCATTTCGGTGAGAATTTCATTTTTGTCATTTTGACCAAAATGAAACTTCGTTTCGTTTATTGTTTTACCCACTGATCTCAAAATAATTAAAGTTATTATTTTGAGATCAGTGGTTACCATGTAAAGATAGGGCTGTTCAGTATACTAATTTGTTTTCAGAACATAGCTAATTGAAGTTTTTCCCATTCAACTATCATATTGTGGTTCAAAAATATTTTTTACTAAATTTTATTATTTGCCCTAAAGGTCCCTCAAAGCCACTAAACATTTGACAGGTCCCTAATATTATTAAAAAAAAATTATTTAAAAATATGTCAACTTGGTACTCAAAAGAAGCAAAATTTTATAAAAATTTTAAAAATTAGATTCATTTTTTTATAAAAAACAACTTAAAAAAAACTTATTATTAAAAATGTTGTGAATATTACCATTTTTTAATTTTTCATTTAAAAACCATAGTTTTTATTCAAAAAAACCTAATATTGTTTTTTTTATAAAAAATACTTTTTGTTTTTGAAATTTTTAAATGATTTTGCCACACTGGCATTTTGATTTTACCAAGATGACATATTTTTAAATAATTTTTTTTTCAATATTATAAGGGACCTGTCAAATGTTTAGGGGCTTTGAGGGACCTTCAGGGCAAATAATAAAATTTAGTAAAAAATATTTTTGAACCACAAATCCGATAGTTGAATGGAAAAAACTTCAATTACCTATGTTCTGAAAACAAATTAGCATACTGAACAGCCCTAATGTAAAGAGTTTTCAATCGAAACGCGCATGCTTAAAAATTACATGATTGACTTATGTGTTTTTCTTTAACGCGGTATTGGTTAATTTCAAACAATCGAAAAATATTTTTCATTATGATGTAAAACTGCCACATTTAACGCGCGAAACTGGTTGAAATAAGGTTGAAGACAATTTAAGTTGCAATTTTCCAAAAAGATTTACAAATAGGTTTTTAAAATTATTATTATTATTATTATTATTATTATTATTATTATTATTATTATTATTATTAATAAATAGATGCGTAATTGTAAGTCTTGTAAATTTTCATTAGTCAAGATTAATTAACAATAAGGTTTCTTAGGGAACGGCACAATTTCTCAGAGTACAAATATCTACATATTTATAAATGGGTTGAATGTCTTCAATGATACGGCAGAAATAGAAATTAAACGGATTCAAGATTTCACCCATCTGTGTCATAGTGAGGCATTAAAATAGAACTTTTAGTAAAGGAGCTTTAAAAAATTGGAAAATGTAAAAATTAAAAATGTTAATTTTTTTTTTTATATGTAATTTATTTTAAAAATTATAATATAGTGGTCATCAACGGCATCACATCGGAATGGCAAGCAGTCACTAGTGGCGTGCCTTAAGGCTCGGTCTTGGGCCTATTACTTTTCGTAATCTTCACTAATGACCTGCCGGACAGCATTATTCATCTTATGAAACTGTATGCTGTTACTCAATGGCCAATGTTGACGGCACGCGTTATCCACTCGAAAAGACTTTGGTCTCCAAAGACCTTAACGTTAGACCACAAGTAGAGTCAGCTGCATCAATTGTGAATAGTGTATCTTATTTACATTCACCCCCACCTTAGTTTGCTGTTGGTTGCCGCATTTAAAGTCCGGCATTGCTATGCCTCGAGCAAGTCCAACATCGAGCAAGAAAAATAATATCATTTATTAAATACCTGTCCTATGAAAGTCGACTCCAACAGCTCGGTCTAACAGCACTTGAAGAACGCCGTAAAAGAGCAGACCTAATCGAAAAATTTAAAACCACGAGTAAAATCTCAAACTTGTCAGTTTTTTTGTTCCGCAAAAATTTTCAAAAGTAAAGCCAAGTATGTTTTGAAAGGGTATAATCAAAAACTAGAACGACAGCTTGTATGAAAATGTGAAAAACGACATTACTTTCTTTTTCAAATAGAGTTGTTATCCCATGGAATGCGCTTTCCCAAGCAGCAGTGAACACTCCATCAATCAATGCTTTCAAAAAAACATAACAAAGTAACTTTTAGAGACTCACTTTGTCTGTAGCGTCTTTGTATTTTTTTTGACAGCATAGAGGGACGTGGTGTATCACCTTTTCATCAAACTATAAACAAATTTATTGTATTTTTTTTTCTCTTTTTGATAACTGAGTAGTAATAAATACAAAAAAAAAGTAGTTAATTATGATAAATACTAAACTTATGATAGAGGCTTCTTTCAATTTCTGTTCAATCCAAAATTTTGTTGATGCCTCCCCCCCCCCATCCCTTGCGAACTTAGCGAAGGGGGCTAAAGCCCCATAGCGCCCCTCCTGGATACTGCCTTGGCACTGTTTTGCAAGATATGTTGCTATACTAGATGTAAATTGTTTCTCCATCTTTCTTGAAAGGATTG